TATATCAGACATCACCAAACTGTCCCATGCAGATATTTTGTTATTAAAATGAGCCCTCTGTGTGAGGTCACTTTATTTAATTACATTGCACATGAGGGCAATCTATTTAGAATACATAGAAATGAATAATTAATGAAAGAGAAAAGAATATTCCTCTTATTTCCAGATACACTGTTCCTTTCTTCCCCCTGGCTTCTTTCTTCCTCTTTCTACTATTTTGTGACATTTTGAACCATGTGTGCTCATAGATTATTTCTTCCTTTTCCTTTTGAGTTTCTGTAATGGTAGCCCAGTCACAGGCAAGGAGCCAGCGGTCTCTGAAGGAGATGGCATGAGAGACTAGAATAAATGGTGGCATTTCCTCAGGAGAAAGGCAGTGTGGACTCATAGAAAAACTTCCCTTCCCATAATGGATCAGCCAGGCTGACAGTCACAAGAAAGGTCTCAGTATCATGACTGAGACAGGGTAGAAGAGGTAGATAGAATATCAAATAATTCTTGCCTTTGGTGGATTGACAATTTCTGATTGCTTAGCCTGCTAGTACAGTGTTGCTACTCAAAATATAGTCTATTCATTCATTCATTCATTCATTCATTCATTCATTCATTCATCTTTTTGGGACAGGGTCTCACTATGCAGCCCAGGCTGGCCTTGAGCTCACTTTGTAGCCCAATCTGGTCTCAGACTCACAATGGACCTCCTGCCTCAGACTCCAAAGTGCTAGGATTACAGGTGTGTGCCATTACACCTGGTTCAAAGCATGGTGTAAAATCCAGTAACATCAACACCAACTGGGAACTTTGAGTTTTACACAAACTATAATAGTAGCTCATCCTTGGGGATGTGGAACACTTATAATCAGCATTGTGCAAGATCCTAGGGAATATAAAAAATTATGTAATGTCTTTTCCTCAAAGGGTTCCTTTTGGAACACATGAATAGTAAGAATACTGTGTAGCTAAAAATCATGGAATTGATATCAAATATTTTGGTTTAGATCTAGAACATACCCCAAATCTCATGTGTTTGGAAGGTGATTAGATCATGGGGCATTCTACTCAACAGGGGATTTGTCCACTGATAAGCTCACTAGCTGAATGTGCTGATTGGTGGTGTGTCACAAGTGACATTCTTATCCCTGGCTCCTCCCTTCTCTCTGCTCCTCTCTTCTCTGATTTTCTGTTCCCTCTTTTTGTTTCTATGCCCCTTCAACATACTGTTTCTGCCTTTGCACCTGCTGGCCATGGACTGAACCCACTGAAAGTATTAGTCAAAATAACCCTTGCCTCCTTTAGTTTCAAGTGCTATTTATTGTGTTACCAGTGAATGGAAAGTCACCTAATACAGGTTCTAACCCAAATCCAATGCAGGAATTTTAAAGGGGATGCAAACTCCAAATTCACTGCATGTGTCTTTTGGATATTTCTCCTGACTTTTTGTTTCAATCCAACTCCTGTATCCTTTTGAACCAACTTAGTCTTCATGTTTTCTGTGAAGGAAACTTTTCCTAACTTTGTTAGGTAGAGGTTATTAGACTATGGTCACCTTCATCTTTTATTTCTCCTTGTTTCCTACCTCTCCATAGTACATATTACACTACATGAAACACTGATGTGTGTGTGTGTGTGTGTGTGTGTGTGTGTGTGTGTGTGTATGTATGTATGTTTTGGAAGGAGTTTACTGCTGCTGTTTGGAGAATCAGACAAATGCATAACATACATCTCCTATCTGCGTAGTTTTGCTTGAGGTTTCCAATGCATAGACATAATATTTATGAGTGCATAGATACTTGAAAAATAACTTCTATCTTAGATGGTATGATTTAGGGGTTGGGGATTTAGCTCAGTGGCATAAGCGCCTGCCTTGCAAGCAGGCAGTCATGAGTTTGATCCCTGGTACCGATAAAAAAAAAAAAAAAAAGAAAGAAAGAAAGAAAAAAGACTAGATGGTATGGTTTAGTAAATAATTACTTAAATTATTAGAGTAGAAATTTTCTGAGACTTTAATAGATCTTCTTTGGGGACCAAATCTTTATTTGGGGGTCAAAGTAGTTGGCTAATGAACTTGAACTTTTCTTGTGTGTGCTTTATTTTTTCCTAAAACATTTCTGAGGACTTTCAGTGTCTGATATGCGCTGTGAGTCAGGATGTCTCATTTCCTAGTCACATTTGGCCATGGGATTCTTTCTTGTCCATGTACCATAACAACCCAGTTTGGAGGCACTAGTTTTGTAGCTGAGAGTAGAATACAGCACTAAATTAATATAACTGCTTGATTTTGGGTGGTTTATTTTTACTGTGCTGTGCTTGGCAAGCACTCTACCCCTGAGCTACATCCCCAGTTCTGATTTGGGTTCCCTGCTGATACTTTAGTTTCTTTGTCTATGGAATATCTCATATTGTTATTAGCAAAATAAAAAAGTCTATTAAATTCCCAGGAGTCCTCACTATATGTTACAACTGTAACTATGAAATATATCTATATCTATATCTATATCTGTATCTATATCTATATCAGAATAGTCATCTCGTATATCCAGGGTTTTGCAGACTACTGACTTTAATTGGGTTGACTTTAGACTGCTACCGTATGTCTCTTGCTGCTTTTAAAAAACTTTATTTTGGTAGTGCTGGGGAGAGAACCCAGGATCTTGAAACGTAAGCAAGCCCTGTACCACTGAGGTACCTCAGGCCTATTGTTTTTTGTTCTTTGAACAAGGTCTGAGTCTATATTAGATTAGCATTGTTTTAGTTGTAGTCCTGTTTCTTAGTATCTTATAAAGATATAAATATAATGAAAGAAGAAATGAGATTGAACTAAACAGCCTCTAGAGTTTTTCAAAAGACAAATAATACATCAAATTTGGTTTAAAGATTAATTGGCTTTTGTGATTCAAGAATCAGGTTCTAATTTGTTGAGACAATGCTGCTTTTTAAAAGTTTTTGATTAAGTAATTTTTTGCAGTGCTGGGACTGGAACCTATGTCCTCCCACATGCAAGGCAAATGCTGTAGTACTAAGCTACATACTCTGTGGAGGACAGAGGTTTTACAGGCAAAGAAAGGCAGAAAAAATATAGAAACAGGGAATGAAGAGAGATTTCAACGTCGCTTTCCTTGTAAAGATTAAAGGACTGGAGACTTTCTGACCATGCTGGCTAAAGCTGGCTTGTTCAGAGATTTGGAAATTATCACTCTCCTGGTTTCTTGGAAGGTCAGACAACTTAATTTTTTCTTGACAACGTGGATGTTCAGCAGGAGTAACTGCCCTTTGGTCTAAAGGGGCTAGTGGAGGAGCTCTGTCCAAACCAATGCTGTAAATTTTATTTAAGAAAATCTGGGCATAGTGGCATACATCTGTAATCCCAGCAGTCAGGAGGCTGAGGCAGGAGGACCTCTGTGAGTTTGTGACCAGCCTGGGCTACAAAGTGAGTTCAAGGACAGCCTGAACCGCATAGTGCAACCTTGTCTCAAAAACAAAACAAAACCAAAAAAATCAGGAAGTTCATTCTCCCTTTAAACTCCAGGGTAAAACACAGGTCATTTTTTTTTCTAGAGTTGCAGCATATGGAGTTTTTTTTTTTTTTTTGGTACCGTGAATTGAACTCACTACCTCGCACTTGCCTGTGTGCTATGAGGCACTGTGCTGTGAGCTATCCCGGCCTCTTCACATGGGGTTTCTGTACTTTCTGCTTAGGCTGATGAACACATACACATGATTCTTATCCCTCTACACTAAAAACTTGTTTTTTTTACAAGTGTTGGTTCCCATCAACCCCCTTCACCCCAGCACTGGTGATAAAACCCAGGGCCTTTGGACTGAGCTTCTTTCCCAGCCAGGCCTTTTACAGTTTTACATTTTCAGATAATGTCTCATTAAGTTGCTAAGATGTTTAGGATGGCCTGGGACTTGGGATCCTCCTGCCTCAGCCTCCCATCAATACTTTCAATATAAAAGGACTTTACTTATACTAAACTGTTATTTGGAAAACTCTGTTGGTCACTATGTACAACTATATAGCACCATAAAGTAGACCCTAGGCCTTGAAATCATTTTGAAACCTCTTCTTCCACCTCTCTTTATGAACAACTGCAGCTGTGAGATGGTTCTTCCTGAAGGAATAAGAAAACACTGTAGTTATTGAAATTCACTGGATTTTTTTTTTCTTTTCAAAGGAGTGCTCGCAGCACACATACTAAATTTTCAAAGGAAAAGTTCACATCTAGTGAAGTATTTGTTTACAAGCTTCACAACAAAACAAACATTTATAAGACAACTTCAGATGTTCACGGGTCATAGAGACCAACCTAACACCACAGCTTTCCTGGGCTTGAAGTTGAGGTCCTCCTGCTTCAGTCTCCTAGGGGGCTAGGATTACAGGCATGTGTCACCATGCTGGCTCACTCATTCCATTTTATAGACTGAAGTGTTGTCAGATTCAAGAATGGCAAAATAAAGCCATTTAGGGCCTTTAAAATCAATTATTATAATTTTGTTCTCTGCTACTTTTCTTTGTGTCAATCCCCCACTCCCAACCCCGCCAACACAGACACAGAAGTCAGTCACACACAGCCCAGGGGATGCTGAGAACACAGAAACAGGGATCCTGAGCTGGCTGTCAAAATTTGTCAACTGAGGCTATTCAAGTCTAATGAATCACAATGAAAGTTATAGTCTGAAGACAGTCCGGCTTTGATCAAATAAAGGTTTCTATACATTTTTGTAACAAAGACATCCTGTAAAAAAAACCAAAAAAACAAACAAACAAACAAAAAAACACCCTAAATGTGCTTTTTAAAAACATTTCCCAGCCAGGCATGGTGGTGCAGAACTGTATTTATAGCACTCCGGAGGCTGTGGCAGTAAGGACTGGTGTGTAGCCTGGGCTACATAGTGAGTTTAAGGCCAGCCTGCCCTTCATAGCAAGACCCTGTCTCACAAAGACAAAAACAACAAACAAACAAAAAACAAATATTTCCTAAAACGAGTATTTATAGAGACTTTAGGGATACTTCCTGCATGACAAAACAAAACAACCATGCATTACAAATCGAAAGTGAAATTAGGTAGAACTTTCTGTTTCTATTCCTGGTTAATCACTGGAGACACAGGTTGGTGTTTCCAGTAGTGGTGAAGTTTTAAAGATAAAATTGCCACTTGAAGTTTTGACTTCTTCTTTTTGAAGGACCCAAGCCAGGACACCCGTTCCGAGGACACCTCAGATCGCAGGAGGCAGCACCAGGTCCCGGCCGTCCGTCCGAGACCCTCCGGTTCCGCCGCGGGCTTCCTGGGGGTACGGGCGCCGCGCTCGGCTGCTGGTGGCGGGTGAGTGAGGCGCTGTGTTGCTGGTGCTGACCGTCAGCCGTTCTGGGCCGCAGAGCGGCCGGGAGCGAGGCGGGGTCCTCCGGGCCGGAGCAGTGCGGGGAGTGGGCGCCAGTTCAGCAGCTGCGAGCCCTTGCAGCTGGGGTCACTGGCGCGGTGGTCCCTAGGACGCACCTGCCCCTGGGCCCGGGGACTTCCTATGCCCAGGTGTCTGCTGGGCTTCATTTGTGATAGAATTTTCGGCGCGGCTAAAAGAACAGAAATATGAAATAAAAGTGGGCTTTATTCTCAGAACGCGGAGAGAGAACCCCACGACCACTGGGCTGGCTTTTTTTCTGCTCTACACGTGGTGTGGGGGCATCCTTGTAGCTTAGGTTTGGGGTGGTGCCCAAGGGGCATTGCTGATGCACAGGTAGCCCATTGGAATTCTTTTCGCACCACAGGTAAATTGCCTAGGGGCGGGCAGGGTGACCTCAAGATAGAGCCTTCGGCCTCCCAACGCTGCAGCCTCCCGTCCAGAGCAACATCCTTTCAATTGGAGAAACTGAAATGTAAAGTGATTTGTGTTTCTCCAGTGTTTTCTTGGCCTGCCTCCAGGGACAGTTCTCAGGCAGATTTCTTAAAGCCATTATTCTCCTTGCCAGGGGAGGAGTTCTGCAGTCTTGCTTCACTGTTTATGCTAGGCAAGGTTATTACTATTATTTGTTTCTGTCTGTTTTGGTGGAAGAAGGCATCCAAAAGAGAATATTATTGTTAATAAAGGTCATAATTTTGGACTAAGTTTGCACACTTGGGCTCCAAGACACCAGACTGAAAATTAAAATGGCGTAAGCCATGCTTAAGTTTCTGTTACCAAAGGAAATGGGGTAGTTAGCTGTTTTTCTGAGAAACTAGGAGAGAGAACAGCCTGCACTCCTAAGCAGAACAATTTTGATCCATATGCTAATTAAGTTCCTTCTGCTTTTATCCTCACAAAAGTAGCCTGAAGTTAACCAACCAGTTATTTTTCTACTGTTGTTTCCGCATTCTTATCTTACAAGGAAAGTAACATTGAAATGAGCTTACACTTTTTGTTCACTTGCCTTTTTTTCCAGGTCTTTCTGTAAAAGCAGTTTCTGCTCAGCCTACTGCGACTCTCACCCTTCTCCATAGAACCCAGGACCTTTGCACTGAGCTACATCCTCTCTCTTTCTTCCTTTCTTCCTCTCTCTCTCTCTCTCTCTCTCTCTCTCTCTCTCTCTCTCTCTCCTCTCTTTCTGTGTTTTTGAGACAGGATCTTTCTATGCAGTTCAGGTTGTCCTTGGGCTCACTTTGTAGCCCCGGCTGGTCTTAAACTTGCAACAATGCTTTTGTCTCAACCTCTGAGTGCTGGGATTACAGGCATGAGCCGCTTCTCCCTGTTTCTTCTATTTTTTGAGACAGGGCCTCCCAAAATTACTCACACTGGGCTTGAAGTTGAAGTCCTCCTACTTCAGTCTCCTAGAGTGCTGGGATTATAGGCTTGTGCCACCATGCTGGCTCACTCATTCTATTTTATACACTGAAGTGGTGTTGGAGTCAACAATGGGACAATTAGGATCTGTAAAATAAATTGTTGTAGTTTTGTACTTTGATACTTTTTCCTGTCACCCCAACCCCCAGATATAGGAATATTCAATCTTATATAGCCAGGCACCAAACTAATAGGAATATATTAATGAAATAAGATGATGGTGATTTATATTTTTTACTGCTTTAACAAATGACATGGACCTACTGACTTCACACACACACACACTTTTACTTATTGTGGGGTTCTGTAGGTTAACTGTCCTACACCGGCCCCATCTCTCGCACTTGGATCGGTAGCTCTCTTCTCTCATCTTCAGAGCCAGCAGGTTACATATCTGATCACATTTCTGTGTTCATATCGTATTCTGACTTTCTTTGGTTTTTGCTTTCACTTTTTCTTTCATTTTTTGGGACAAGTTCTTGCTGTGTTGCCCAACCCGGTCTTGAACTCTGGAGCTCAGGCAATCCTCCTGCCTCAGTCTCGCAGGGAGCAGAAACTATAGGCATTTACACTGCACCCAGCTCCTTCTTTTTGAGAACCTTCTCTTGCATTTGGGCCTCCACGGGTAATCCACAATGATCTGCATATTTTAAAGGCAAGTGAATAGCAATCTGAATTCAGTCTAGACCAGTGATGGCAAGCCTGTTGTGCCTAAACTACAACCCCAACCCATTTATTTATCACAAAGTATCCAACCCTGTAGTTCAACCAGAGTACTTTTAGATTAGCAAAACACAGTTCATACTTTAACATCTTTTTGTCCTAGAAAAAAGTAACACACATATCATAGGATCACTGATCTTAGCCTTAATTCTCCTTTGAAGTGTAATGTAATTTTTTTTTAGGTTCTTGGGATTAGAATGTGGACATTTTGGAAGAGGGTTGTCATTTTGCTTTGCACATGATTGCATTGAAGAAAAGAATTACCACGTGTACATACCACTCAGTGTAAATTATGAAATTAATCAGATGGTAAATATGCTGAAGGAATGCTGGGAGTATTATGTTGCAAATTATTTAAAATGAGAGCTTTTAGTATACACTTTAAATATTGGCAATGTGACAATAATAATTTTAAAAGTAATGAAATTAGATTATAGTTTCTGTCTTCGGAAATGTAATAAAGAGGATCTGATATGCACAGAGTGTTCTATGGAGAATAAATATCCAAATCAGTATTCCACACAATCTTGTAAATTGAATATTTTCAGTATGGAAGATTGTACTGTATAGGTGCTTTGCAAGAACTGGACACAGGTACAAAACTAATTAAAATGGCTTAAAAGAGATAAAGGAAGGGGAAGTAACACTCACTGGGGAAATCAGAAGAGGCTTCAAGAACCCCGGGGTTGTTTGGAGTGGACCTTTAAAGATACTACTAGGGGGCTGGGGATTTAGCTCAGCAGCATAAGCGCCTGCCTTGCAAGCAGGCAGTCATGAGTTCATTACCCGGTACCAATAAAAAGGAAAAAGACAAAAAAATATATATATATATACTACTAGGTGGAGATTAAGTTTGGGAAGGGAGAAAGAATATGACACACTGAGGGAGAAAAGAGGAGCCTTCAAGGACCCCTTTAACTTGGTTAATGAGTTACCTTAATAAGACTGGTGGGTAAGCTGGGATTAGACTCTGCTGGACCTTGCTTGCATACCGTTAGAAAGATTCCACAGTTGATGCATTAGGGATAATTAGGGATAGATAGATAGATATATAGATAGAGAGATTTCTCATTAACAACTTACCTGTTTAGCCACTGCTTATGACTGAGATGCATTTTTCAGATTTACAACCTGTCACTTGGACTTTCAACCTGTCTTTTCTTCTTTTTTTGGTACCACTCTGTACATCTTGTTTATACGTAGCCTTAATATTCTTTTGTACAGTACACTGTTTATACAGCACTGTAATTTTTGCAAATTATACTATACAATATGTAGTTTGATGTAATGTTATACATGATAGTGATACATTACTGCATTTAAGAAGTATGCAAACAAAAACAAAGTTGCCAAGTTGAAGTTTCCTTTGATTATTTTTTTATTCTGAATATTGTAATGTATTTTTTTATTCTGAATATTGTAATTCTTATTTAGCAATCAATTCACTTTACCTATTCCCAAGGCTATAACTTTGTGGTTGTTAAGTGAAGAATATTTTAGAATTCATATTTATCATTTCAAACCATCTCAGACTTGCAGAAAACTTGCAAGTACAGTAAAGCGACTTTTCTCTGAATTATTCAGGGAATACAAATGTAACTCTTGTATTTCTTTTTGTTGTCTAATTACACTTGCTAATGTTTCATGTACTATGTTGAACAGAAATAATGATAGTGGACATCCTTATCTTGTTCCTATTTTAGAGGGAAAGCTTTCAGCTCTTGCACATTTAATATGATATTGGCATAAGTTGAAATAAACGGCTTTTAGCACATTGGGATAGGGTCCTTCTATTCTTATTTTCTTCAGTATTTTTATCACAAAAGGGTGGATTTTGTCAAAGGCTTCTTCTATATCTATTGAGATAATCATGTGATTTTTGTCCTTATTTCTGCTTATGTGATATATTACATTTATTAAGTTGAATATATTGAACCATCCCTGGATCACTACATACTTGATCATGGTGTAGGATCTTTTTGATAATTTGTTGTATTTTATTTGCCAATATCTTAACTGAGGATTTTTGCATTGATGTTTGTTAAAGAGATTGGTATGTAGTTCTCTTTTTTCTTTGGATTCTTGTTTAGTTTTGGAATAAGGGCAATGGTAGCTTCCAGGAATGACTTTGGGAGTACTCTTTCCCCTTCAATGTCATGAAAAGGCTTGAGGAGTATTGATGTTAGACCTTCCCTAAAGTTTTTGTGGAATTCAGCAGGAAACCCATCCAGACCTGGAGTTTTCTTGGTAGATTTCTTACGAGTGCTTCAATTTCCTTGTTTGTTATTAGATTATTCAGGATTTTTAATATCTTCTTGGTTCAGTCTTGGTAATTTATATGTATCTAGGAATCTATCCATTTCTTCTGAATTCTCCAATTTATTGGCGTACAGATTCGCCAAGTAGTTGTTAATAATAATCTTTTTCTGTGACTGTTATGATTTTACCTTTTTCAATTCTAATTTTGTTGATTTGGGCCTTTTCTTACCTTTTTTGATGCCTAAGGGTTTGTCTATTTGGTTTATTCTTTTGAAGAAAAAAATATTCAATTCATTAATTCTGTGTAACTTTTTGTCTAAATTTCATTGACTTCTGCTCTGATCTTTATAATTTTCTTCCTTGTACTAGCTTTGGGTTGGATTATTCTTGTTTTTCTAGAACCTCATGATGCATTATTAGGTTATTTATTTGGGATTGTTCTGTGTTTCTTCTGTGGGCATTCACAGCTATAAACATTCCTCTTAGGCCTACTTTAATTGTGTTGCCTAAGTTCTGATATGTTGTACTGACATTATTGTTTAGTTCTAGACACTGTCTTATTTCTTCTTTGATTTCTTCTGTAATCCCTTGTTTGTTTAAGAATGCAGTATTGAGTTTTCATGCATTTGTATAATTTCTGTTTTCTTTTGCCGTTAACTTCTAGTTTCCCTGCACTGTGATCTGCTAATATGCACGGTATAATTTCAATTCTTTTATACTTACCTAAGTTTGCTTGTTAGCTAATTAGTGGTCCATTCTGGAGAAAATTTCATGTGCTGCTGAAAATAATGTGTGTTCTGTTGTTGAGTGGAACACTGTGTGGGTGGAATACTCTGTTCATTTTAATCATTAATTTATTTCCACATTTGGTCACTAAAAACTGTCTAAAGTTTGGGTTTTATATCCTTTTGACACGTCCTCATCATTTGTTAAGCATTTATTTACTTTTTAGCATCACAATTTACCCCACACTTATAGTTTTCTGTCCCAGTCCTGGGAACAACCATTTCTCCAGAGTCCTGGTTCCTCTGAGTGCAGACTGTTATTAGAAAACTAAGTCTGGGTGTCAGGTATCCGCACTGCTACTGTCTCTGCTCCTGGTCCCTTCTCCTCCCAACCAACAGGCCTCGAATATGCATATACATGCACATTTATATCCATGCCTCTACCCATCTATTTATATATCATATATTTATTCATATATCAGTTTTCTATCTTTAACTACCTATTTACCTATCTAACTCCTTCCATCTATCTATCATCTATTAATTATCTATCATCTATCTATATCAACCCTCTATCATCTGTCTGTATCTATCAATCATCTACTCCACCTATCAATTTTCTTCTGATATATCCATTTTCAACCCACAGGATTTATTCTTGCTGTCCTGTTTTCCGCATTTACAGTTCTTTCCTGTAGCAGTAAAACCCCTGGCTCCTGTCCTCTATAATTTATTTACTTGATCGATTCCCTGTGTGTAAGTTTGACTACTGAGAACTCTTTCAGTTGGCGACTGTGTCAATTTCATGTATGTCAACCATAGTTGTGGTGTATTTTGATTTGTTTTCTAGCCATTTTTAATTGCATGTCACCAAAAGATATCCCAGGCTTGTATTGTGTATTTCCTGTCCCAGACCTAGAATCAGCCGTTGCTCCAAGGGGAGTTAGTTCCTTTTGATGCTGAGTAGTATTATAAAACAAGGTCTGGGTGTTACATAACCCTTGTTTTTTCTGACATCCTTGTATTCACATGTGGTAAACAAAGGCATTACTAATTTCTTCCTGATCTTTCATTTTATTTTATTAAGAAATAGATGTCCTCTGTTTCTCTTAAAAGACTACTGAGAATCTTACCATTCAAAATCTTGGAAAATTATATTGCAGACTGGTTATTAATGTGCATTGTAAACTTGAAGTCATAATGTCCTGTGTCCCACTTTTGAACCAGGAATTTTCCATCCTAGTAAATTAATGTGCAGGCAGGGCTTCTTCATTTTTTTGTGTGTCATTGACTCCTTGTTTGCCAGACTGGTCAATCTTATTGACCTTTCTTAAAACAAACAAAAATACAAAAACAAGACAAAAACTCAAATTTTAAAAAGCGTATTATAAAATACAGAGATTTTTTTTTTTTCTTTTTTATCGGTGCCGGGGATCGAACTCACGACTGTCTGCTTGCAAGGCAGGTGCTTATGCCACTGAGCTAAATCCCCAGCCCCTAATACATAGATTTTTACAGGGAACTAATTATGTTGAAATGTGATTCTCAAAATTAGCAAAGTTTTGCTATCATAGTAGATATCAGTATGTCACAATACATCATAAGATCTAGCAGTGACTTAATAACTACTGTAGAGCTGGGTTAAACAAACTGTATTTCAGAATACCTGCAACGGTTACAATGGGTTTTTTTGTCTTTTTCTTTTTTATCAGTACCGGAGATTGAACTCATAACTGTCTCCTTGCAAGGCAGGTGCTTATACTGCTGAGCTAAATCCCCAGCCCTGGGTTACAATGTTTTATGAAAATATTTGGGCTTTCTACTGGTGACTGTCACAGGTGCTATGAATACTACCATACTTGCTTATGGTTATAATTGAAGAGAATGCTAAGTTTCAGTTATTAAAAAAAAATTGTAATCCTTCCCCACCTCCGTCCAAATTAGTGACCCAGGTTTTTAAGAAAATGGCAGGTGAGATTACCTGTGTTGGGGAAGGCTGTGTTGGGGGCTTATACACTTTGTTTATATTTGGTAAGTACAATAGGGGATTAAACATTTAAATGAAATCTTTTGAAAAAGATTGGAAGATTGAAACAGTAGTTTTTAAAATGAAGCATAATAGGATTGGGATGTGAATTACAAAGGCATATTAACATCCATGGTTTTCTGTACACCATTGAGTTGAGAAGCAAAGGCTTTTTAGGATTTTTCATGTTTTTAGGTGGGAAAATTGAAACACAATTGAAGCATGTGAAAATAAAGACTTTGATGACAGGAAAAAGCTAACAAAGAAGAAATGTTTTTTCTATGCAAGAGTAAATGTTGTTTTCTTTTGTTCTTGGATTTGTATATATATATATTTTACAAAATTTTTTTTAATTATTAGGGAATAATGGAATTTGATAAGGACAACAAAAATCGAGAACTTAAAGAACAACAGCCAGGTGAAGAATCTATGAACGATAAACAAAATGAGGTAAAAAAAAGAAAATTACTAGACATTATTACAATTAATTTCTGTTTATCAGTTTTGCAGTAAAGAATGTTTTGTATGACTGTGTACATTACCTTGAATTTAGGAGGCTATTGGACTTCAAATTTTTTTTGCTTTTATTGTGTTACTCCAGTCTTATAAGGAGAATCATATTTCCATTTTCTTGCAGTTTTTGCTTCCTCATTTCTTGGGTTTGCACCCGCAAATTGTGGGATTAGTTAGCAGTTACTGTATATCTAGAAAATAAAGGAAACGAGGAGGCTTCAACCTGTTATCCAGGGCCACATGGCTGTCACATCTCAGCAGCTGTGTATATGGTTATCACTACCAATTTTTTTTCCTTTTTTTTGAGGCAGGTTTTCACTCTGCAGTTCTGGCTGGCCTTGAACTCATCTGTAGCCCAGGCTGGCCTCAGACTTGCAATAATTCCAGTGCCTCAACCTCCCAAATACTGGGATTATAAGCCACAATGTGCCACAATGCCCAGTTCACTGCTAATTTTTAAAAACGTCTCCAGAATAATATATGCACAATTACAGTGCAATTTAAAAGCCATATCACAGTCATAAATGATTACGAAGGAAGTTGATCGAGCCCTGGAGTAAGATTCAGAAGATTTGAGTCTTTGTTTGTTTGTTTTGTTTTTTTAAGACATGGTCTCACTATGTAGCCCGTGGCCTTGCACTTGCAATCTTCCTGCCTCAGCCTCCTGAGTGCAGGGATTACAGATGCATGCTACCAATCCCAACATAGATCTATGCCTTAATCCTTGCCTTAACTGTGAGATTTCTGTAACTTTGGTCCAGTGTGAAATGTGATTCTCTTGTTCATATAAGGATCTAGAAAAACTTAGTATTGTTAGGAAAATTGATAGGTGATAGTGTACAATATTCAACACATGCATTATTAATATGGGCGTACCTATTCTAAAATCATCTTGCTCAAGGTCAGAGAAATTTGGCATCTTCAATTTAGAAAGTGGAGTTCAAGGGTTATTTAATTTTTTGAGGTATTATTTGATATTTTTTAGGAATTACTTGATGAAATTAGAAAAGAAAATATTCAGCTACAGGAAGAGATCCAAAAGCTTGAAGCTGAGTTAAAAGACACCACCAAAGACTTCCAGGTACTCCAATAATTTTATATATCACATTTTTATGGACAGGTACTTTTCAGAAAGGTAATTTAATTATACACTATCTGCTCCTCCCCCTTCTGTATTACTGGGAATTGAATCCAAGGAGCTACATCTCTCAGCTCCATTTTAATTGTTTTTACTTTGAGACAGGCTCTCAATATTAAATTGTTATTAAATTGTCCAGCCTACGCTCCAACTTGCAGTCCTGTCTCAGCCTCCCAGAGTGCTGGGATTGCAGGTATGTGCCACACTCATGTTACTTTTTACTGTGAGACGGGGTCTCACTAAATTGCCCAGGTGGAATTTGAACGGTGATTCTGCTGCCTCTGCCTCTCTCAGTGCTGAACTATCTATGTTTCCAACCCTCAAGATTCATTTTTAAAACATTATAATCCTTTGTAGAATTACTATATGTTTATAATAGCTCCAAATGGAAAACTGCCCAAGTGTTCCTTCACAGTAGAATAATTGGGTATATTTGCACTTGAATACTATTACAGCAGTAAGAATGAATTAACTGCTGCTATGCAAAATAGAAGCATGAATGCCTCTCACAGGTATGGTGACCCAAAAAAGACCAAAGAGGTCATAACAGACCGAAGTGGGATGTTTAAAGTCAGGAGAGCGCAGTGATGGTGGGTCTTTTAGAGCTCTCAGTGAGAGCAAACTGCCGCTCGCACGCCATATGTTTGCCACCCGTGGGATAGTGGTTCCTGTGGACGCAGGCCTTGTGGGAAGCCACAGTCTTCTGGTATGTTGTTATGTCTTGTCTGTTGTCTGGGTGCCAGTCACAGCAGTCGTTAGTTTTGTAAAATTTCATGATGCTCTATGCTTACTATATATAGTACATGCTCTTTTTGATTACTTATGTACACTTTAATAAAACCTATAACCTCCCCCCAAAAGCCAATATAATTTCCAAAAGCAAAGAAAGTGATGGTCATTGCCAATTAGCTTTTGATTACATGATTGTTCTCACTGAGTCCTTTTTCTGTCATCCAAGTTGCTGCAGTAATTTACATAGATTTCACAGTTTAAAATGTTGGTAAAATGTTAGATATGGATTAACCCTCCCCATTTCAATTCTTTTTCTTCTTCTTCTTTTGGTTTTTTTTGGTCTTTTTGAGACAGGGTCTCGCTATGTAGTTCAGGCTGGCCTTGAGCTCACTTTGTAGTCCAGGCTTGTCTGAAACTTGCAGCATTTCTCTGCCTCAGCCTCCCAAGTGCTGGAATTACAGGCGTGTACCACCACACCCAGCTGAATTCTTCTTTAAATTTTCTTGCCTTTATTTTTTTAAAAATGTTTTTGTTACTAGGGACCAAACTCACGATCTTCTGCTTGCCAGGTAGGCATTTATGGGGTTGAGCTAAATCCCTGGCTCTTCTTGTCTTTAAATTAGACATAATTTTCATCTATTTCTTCTTAACAGCTTAGATTATTAAAAAAAAATTAAAAGAATGTCATGGTTTGTGTGTGTGTGTGTGGTTTTTTGAGACAGGGTCTTACTATGTAGCTCAGGCTTCCTCGAACTTATTATGTAGTCCAGGCTGGCCTTGAACTCATGGCAGTCTTCCTGCCTCAGCCTCCTGAGTGCTGGGATTACAGATGTGCACTACCATGCCCAGCACTCTTGGTTGTTGAAGCAGGAGATAGACTGTTAAACATCAGGAAGTGCAGTTCCCTGTGTTCCTGAGACGGCTGACTTCTGGCAGGAGACTGACAGGACTCTGGTCACCCTTCAGCTGGGGCCAGATCAAAGGCCTTTGAAAACCAGCCAGGCCAGTGGATCTCTACAGCGGACCCAAACTGCAATCCAGAGGGCTAAAGGTGTGGCTCTGTGCCACAGTGTGATCAGGACCAGCATAAGCTTTCTCACTCCAACTATAGAAAGTTCTTGGCTTCTTAGGGGAGAGTAGACATTGCCTTTTCAGACACCGTGCAATGTTTTTAAAGTTACCCCATCAGCAATCCTACTGAAGTTGCATGTGAACAGACATTTTATAGATTAAGTGATTCAATTGTTTAGTGAATGATTTTAATCTTTTTGTGATAACACCTCTTATTTCAGCTTGTAAAATAACCATGAGAAATAGAAATGTTAATACTTAACTTATTTGTACCTTTGTGTCTGTCAGCTTCAATTTATTTTTTATTTCTATGATGCTGGAGATCAAACCCAGGGCTTTGCACATGGTAAATGTCAATTAGCATTAAACAGTTAAGTATAGAGCCAGAGCTATAACTCAGCAGCATAAGCTTTTCCCTGACAAGTGCAAGGTCCTGAATTCAATTCAATTCAATACCAATGAAACAAAACAAAACAACCCCAAACAAACCAGTTAGGTATAACTCTAAATTTACCCTGCAGGTTACAAGTCTTGTTGGTCATCTCCTCACTTTTTTTTTTTTATCTTATTTTTTTTAATCCGTACAGGGATCGAACTCAGGGCCACACACTTGCAAGGCAGGTGCTTATGCTGCTGAGCTAAATCCTAGGAAAAAAATACTTAATAAGTTGATGGGCAGACTTTGGGGAAAGTGCAATCTAAATTTTGGACAATAATTCAAGAGTCTTTATTTTCATCTGAAGTTCTCTAGATTTTCCATAAAAGTAACCATAGTATACTCAGGTGTGTGTTTTATGTTTCTGTAGTGAAATTAAACATACTAATTAGTCTCTTATGAGACAGTAGATTATTGGCCCAGTTATTTGAAAGTTACTTAGCTTAAAGGAGTAATGTAAAGTTTAGAATCAAACACTGTACAATACTGACAAGTATAAACACAGATTTAAAAAAGTGAGAGGATTGTATACTTATAATTTCATCTGTGACATGATAGTAAAGATCTACATTGATTGCATTACTGACTATTTGCAGGGAAGAAGCAAATTACCAAAGACGTTACAGAAGATCACATGGAATCAATATTCTGAGACTCTCAACTCAGTGAAGAATGAATTGCTGGCTGACCAAATCCCATTGCCACTGGAAGGACTCAAGTTATTTCTTCTCTTGATTTTAATCAAACATTTCTGTTTAAATTAGGTTAAAGAAGATATTCCAGAGACACAGTTGAAATTCACATCATTAGAGACTCCTGAGAGTGATAACCAGTTTTTAAATACCTCCTGTTCATTTCAAGTGGGCTCACCAATATTTTATGAGCTACAGAAAGGACAAGCACTTATCACCTTTGAAAAAGAAGAAGGTATGACTAATCTTAAAAATATGGCCATGTCACCTTTGGAAACCACTTGAACTTCCAAGATCTTTCTTAGATACTTGGCTATTGCTTTATGGCTCTTTTGTCTGTTATTGCTTCTGATTCTCACAGCAACACACTGAGACAGATTTGATAGTCCCGTTTTCCACATAAGAAAATAAAGTCTTAGGATGTTAAGTATGGAATGGTTATCATTCATTCAGAAAGCGATGATTCTGAGATTAAATTTCGGTGTGTGTGATGTCCAGCCAGCCTTTTTCTACTCCACACGCTGCCTGCAGATGATGAGAATTGCAATGTTTTGGTCTTTTTTTTTCTTTCTTTTTTTTTTTTTTTAATCGGTACCGGGGATCGAACTCACGACTGCCTGCTTGCAAGGCAGGTGCTTATGTTGCTGAGCTAAATCCCCAGCCCGAGAATTGCAATGTTTTAAGGTAGCAGAATTCTATAGTTGTCTAAGTATCCCCCCAGACATTGTCTCGTTTTATACTCACAGAACTTTATAAACACAGGAAGATAGGACTGGTGTTATTTATAATTTATAACCACAAAAATAGATTCTGAGGACATGGAATTGATTTACCTCAGGGCACCTAGTGAGTGAACGGGCAGAGCCTGGGAGTAAGAGATCTGGGCTGGGTCTGTTGTTCACAATGTGTGAACAACACATAGTGTGAGCCCCTGTTTAGGGCTGGGGTGCTTTCATGAGAATGAGCTGGCTTGGAGTGCCAACTTTGTCTCTTCTTTGAGGCACGATGTAGGGTGAGTTCCCTGTAAACCTTAGCTTCTTGACAGGCTTTGTGGTAGTCTTTCCTTCATGCAGCTGCTTTGAGTATTACATAAGAAATGCTACTAGAACTCTTAGCACAGGGCCTGACACATAATAAACATAATAAATCTGTGATTACTACTACATATAAGAAATGTGCTAGATAAGAAAATGGAAGTGTAAAAGAGAGCAGTAACTTGCTCAAGGTCCTGACAGTTACTAAATCACTGAGCTGGGAGCCGAAACCTGAGTGCCTGTGTACTTCGTCCTGGACCAGCCCAGCCTTTCTTCTAGTATTGAAGGAGTCTTAGATTGGCACTAGGTGGTCTGCAGAGCCATTCCAGTGGTCAGAATCTGAGGACTCACTCTCTAACACCTGATCCATCATGGTAGACTGAATATAATGGTTAAAAGGCATTCCTCCTCCCCAGTTGCTTTCCTTTACCGTGGAGCCACCACTCCAAGCTGAGAGGGGAGAGGCTTGGAGCCACACCAGCAGTGGGAGGTGCTAATCAGGATGTAACAGGCCATGGAAAGGAGGATTTGGGAGCCAGGTCTCTGCACAGCAACGACCTGCAAACACTGGGATTAGAATTCTCTTCAGAAACAGCTACAGCGCTGCTTTCATCTTTGGCATGGCTCTGAGATCCTGATTTTCTGGAACAATATTAGATCTCGTCAGAGTGAAATAGAAGAATCATAGAGGTCGAGATGCAAGTGGTCCCTCTAACTGCAATGGATCACCAGATGTTGAGGGCTTGGGGATAGTGAGAGGGAAAGAGGATCATCTCCGTATTACTTCATCAGTGTTGTTTGTAATTGTCAACTGTTGCCATTAGTGAGAAGAAAAAAAAAAAATCATACAAGTTGTAGAGTCATATTGTGGTACAGTCAGTCTGAATTCCCAGATGGCAACGCCCTGCCTTCTAGCTGTTTCTCTCTTCTGCAGCTGTGGTGTGCTGTCTGGTTGTCATAAACACATGTGAAGTTTATAAGATAGAGAGTAACCATCACTTATCTTCATGATAAATTAGTTTAAACAGCTCCTAATAGCAACAACTAAACACTTATAAACCACATTAGACGATTAAAAAGAAACACTCACATACATTTAAAACTGACACATATTTGTTCTCTGAATATTTAGTGCCTTTTGGCATAATTACATTACTGAGCATCTCTTATTTGTGTGGATAAATTAAATTTGACAGCTTTGTTAGTGGTGTAGCCCAGCTCTCAACTTTTTAAACCATCTCAAGAGCATTTTTAGAAAAAATTAGAATTTCTCATTAAATGTAGCAAACAAAACAGGAAATCACTCACTCTTTGATATATAAGCCTGTGTGGTGTTTCGTATGTTATCCTTGGGTAAGCAGAGACAAAACTGAGTATGTATTTTCTGCAGTGCTCATAATGTATGAATAACAAATGACAAAGCTAAATAAAATTAAAAGTAATTATGAAAGTAACAGTGGCCCACGAAAGTTTTCCTGGCTTACTCAGCATGGAAGAATTCTGGCTGAGCTTTAATGAATTAGAAATTCTCTGGTAGTGCTGTCAACAGTGGCAAGGAAGGATGTGTGGTTGAGTTGAAATAATGTATGACTTTCTGGAGGTTTTTTAGTCTTACCTCTTTAGAGATAAGAGGAGGGACTCATTTCCTAAGATAAGCCTAGAACTTGATGAGTGTTTCTACGCAGCCCCTTTTTTTTTTTGGTACCAGGCATCAATACACAGACATTTTTGCTGATGTATTGCAACATCAGTAAATCCTTTTTTGGTGGTTGAGACTGTTATCATCTGGAAATCCCAAGGAAAAAAGTTTAAATTACATCTTTTAAAATCAAAATTCTAATCACTCAGGATAATTTTTTCCTTAAGGAAAAGCATACAAATCTCTCAAAGTACTGAAAATTAATACTTCGCAAATTATTTTTCAGTTGCACAAAATGTGATAAAAATGGGAAAGCATCAAGTACAGCTAAAGGATATGAGTGTGGAGCTTATAGCCAAGCCAGTTCCACTCAACGCAGGAGTCAGATTCCAGGTAACAGGCTCATCAAAACACTTTTGGGAATTGTTGAACATGGACACATTCCTCACTCACATTTTTCAATGTGAAATGATTTTCCAGGTTAGCGTAGACGTCTCTAAAGTGAAGATCATTGTCACTGAAATCCCCAATGGACTGCCTGAAGATCAGATGAGAGACAAGCTGGAACTGAGTTTTAGCAAGTCCCGGAACGGAGGTGGGGAGGTGGAAAGTGTGGACTATGATAAACAGTCCCGAAGTGCTCTCATCACGTTTGTGGAACCTGGAGGTACTCATCTGGTGAAAAGTTAACAGATTCTTGGCTGCTGCAACTATGTCCTGCCATTTCTGAAAGAATTTATTCTGCTTCTTTTATTTGAAATTTATTAGCATCATGAGATTTTTCTTACCATTATAAAAGGATAGAATCCAGGAAATAATTTCCTCAAGTACTACTGAGGATGTTAGTATTATTACAATAACCACTACATGAATCAGTGCATACGATCGAGTGTGAACACTGTAGTAGTTGTCTGTTCACACTGTCTTTTCTGACCCTTGTCATAGTCTGGATGTAGTGATATATTCACTTTACTGAAGTGAAAATAGAGGCTTAGAGAAGATAAGTTACATTCCTGTGAACACATAGTCAGAATGTGTGACAGAGCAATTTAAATATATATTTAATATTAGTATTTAAATATTGTATTTAATATAAATTATAATGTAAATAATAAATACAATAAAAATTTAAAAACTGTCCCTTCCACCTCACCTGATGTTACTAACAAAGGTCTCTTTGGTAGAGGAATTCATCCCAGGAAGACAAGTTGAGGTTGACCAGAAAGCTGAACTAATAATCTGTTCTTTTTACAAGTAGAAATGGATTTTTGCCAAATCCCATTAGAAAGTTTACATTCTTTTGGTGGAAATACAAGATTCTGCAGTTGCTTTTGTTATGTGTTTGAAGTGGTTCTCCATGTAAAATTCTCTTGCTCTAGATAATATAGTTCTAGGGCTTCTGCATTCATATATATAAAAATCCAAATATAGTGGTACCTTGGTTCATGAACTTAATTCTTCCTATGATTCTGGTCACAATCCAAATTGGATAAGAACAAAATCCAAGAAGAAGAATTAAGTTTGTGAACCGAGGTAACAGCGTATACAGTTCTGAATCATTGATTAGATTTTTCATAACAAGGTAATATGTGCTTTTAAAGAAAAATTGCAGTAATGCATAAGAACAGCTTTTTCTCGTACTATGTAATTAGTGTGGTTAGCTGGATATCTTTCCAGGCTTTTCTCTGGATGTGCACAAGCACATCAATATGCATTTGTTCTGGGTCTGGATGATGCTTAGGATAGCATGGTGGGATATATCATAGTCAGAAAGAGCCATGAAAGGAGGAGGTGTTGAGTGCTGCCTTAATGTCTTATCTTAGACAAGGAAAGTAATTTGGTGGGAATTTCTGTTGTCAAGGATCTAGATGTTTCCAAATTTGTTTGTTAGGTTGTTTGATGTTAGATGATCCATTTCTCTTTCTTTGTTTCTTTTTCTTTCTTTCTTTCTCTCTTTCTTTCTTTCTTTCTCTCTCTCTCTTTCTTTCTTTCTTTCTTTCTTTCTTTCTTTCTTTCTTTCTTTTTTCTTCCTCTCCTTCTCCCTCCCCACCTCTCTTTCTTTTTTTTTTGGTACCAGGGATCAAACTCATGGCCTTGTGCTTGCCAGGCAGACACATGTGCCACTAAACTAAATCTCCTGCCCATGATCCATTATTGTATTAAAAATCCACACACAGTTTATACCTCAGAATGCAATTTAATACTTTGAGGTGGGAGACAATACTATCTAGGGAACTTGTACTCTAATAGCTTCTGTCAAAAGCCTTCTAGAGCAGTGGAGGTGAACCTTTCGCACATGTGTTATTTTTCTTTTAAGACAGAAGATGTTAGGGGCTGGGGATTTAGCTCAGCGGCATAAGCACCTGCCTTGTAAGCAGGCGGTCGTGAGTTCAATCCCCGGTACCGATAAAAATGAAAAAGACAAAAAAAACAAAAACAAAAAAAAAAGACAGAAGATGTTAATGTACGAGTTGTTTTATCTAAACTAAAACCTCAATATTCAGATGTAGTTACAGTGTTGGTACTTTGTGGTAAATAAGTGTGTTTTGGGTTGCAGTTTATGCATTCATGTCTAAAAGGTTCGCTATTACTGCTCTAAGGACTGTGTTTAACCAGAAGGAAATAAAAATAGTTTTGTTGATTATAGTGGGTAACTTCTGAAGGACCCAAAAGTATCTGAAGATAGGTGTCCCAGATATTTCATTAACTGTGTCTTATGAACTTGCCACAACCACTTCTGAGGTGTTGTAACACCGATTTTTCTGGAAAAGAAACACATGTTTCAAGGAGTTGAGTGAGATACCCAAGAGTGGCCACATAGCTGATAAATAGCAGACCAGTGCTGAAGCAAGTTCACTTGACATTCATTTTATTTTTTAACCTCTTTTTGACAGCTATGATAAAATATATATAAAACCTTTACCATTTTATGTATACAATTCAGTGACATTGTTTTCCTAAAATTGTGCAATTATCACCACTATCCATCTATAAACTTTTTTGTGACTCCAGCTGAAACTCTAATCATTAAATAATACTTGTGGTTATCTTTTCTTATGGCTCCTGGTGATCGCCATGAATTTTCTTACCTTCTGTGAGTACCACAGAAAAGTAGATCCACACAATATTTGTCCTTTTTGTAGCTGGCTTATTTTGCTTAGTGTGGTGTTTTTGAGGTTCATCCATATCATATCAGAATTTTATTTTTTAAAGACGGATAACATTCCATTGTGCTCTTGTGATTGTGGGGGTGTGTGTTGTGCACATCATATTTACCCATTCATCCGTTGGTGGGCATTTGGGTTGCTTACATATTTAGGCTGTTGTAGATAATGTTGCCATGAACATTAGCATGTACTTACTTGTTTGAGTCCCTGCTCTTGGTTGAGTATTTAGCTAGAAGTGGAATTGCTGGATCACACGGTGATTTTAGGTTCCAGTTTCTCCATATCCTCACAATGAGGGCCTGAACTGTTAAGCTGACCCATATTGCTGACCCAGATGGGCTAAAGAGGAGAGTTTTAACAAAAAGTGATTGGATATCCTCAAGAATTGTTTCCATTAAAAATCTTATTCAGAAAAAAAAAAAATCTTATTCAGTCTTGATACACTACTGTTATCCACTCCTCTGGGAGTAAAAATATTGCTAAAAAGAAATCAGATTATTATTTGTAATCAACGAAACTGAAGAATTTGTGTTACTTTCTTTCACAATTTCAAGATGACTTTCGATGCCCCGTCTTCTTTGGTTGAGATCATTATTTCAGCAGACTGAATGCCATGTACTGAAAGGACCAAGTAATTTCCCATGAGGACGAGCACAGATGATTTTGTATTCTGTGTAGCTCAAGGGATGTCTGTTTGAGGACGTCGCAGCCCTTGTGGATGGCTGCTGTGGATAGTTCGTGACAGAAGAAACTATTTGAACTTACTGTTTGGTCTTGTGTTTTTCAAAAATATGAGCTGTGAAGTTTTTAGTGTGGACCATAGGATATTTTAGAAATTAATCACTGGATTCAGTGTTTATCATGATGTTAAATTAGGTTGGAAGGAAGTTTTAACTTTAGTTAACAATGTTTATGATAGTACATTTTTCTTTGTGTACTTTTAGTCGCTGACAAGATTTTGAAAAAGAAAGACTTCCCTCTTTATATAAATCAGAGCTGCCACAGAGTTGTTGTTTCTCCGTACATAGAAAGGCGCTTGCAAAAGTATCAGGTAAAGCTCTTTTTTTTTTTTTGAGATGGGGTCCTCACTAAGTTGCCCAGGCTGGCCTCGAGCTCCTGGGCTCTTCCTGCATCAGCCTTCTGAGTTTCTGTGATGATAGCCACCTTGCCAGGTTTGAAGTGTGTCACCATGTCAAATTCGGAAAGTCATCCTTCTTTCATTTTGAGGTTTCACTCCCCCGACGGACCCCACAAAAAAATAAAGGTTCAAGTCTGTATTTGAAACTTATTAATGAGGAATACCTAGTTTCTTCATTTTTGCTTGATGCAGAATGAGTTTGTCTTTGTAAAGAATATTTTAACAAAAACCCTTGCCTAAGTTTATTTTTTCTATGTATTATCTATTTACCTATCATCTATTTTATGGCCTGGGGACTGAACCTGTGACCTTGCACATTCTAGGTAAACGCTCTTCCAAGGAGCTGTATTTCTAGCCCTTTTTAAAATTTTATTTTGAGCGCCGGAGATTTAGCTCAGTGGCATAATTGCCTGGCTGGCCAGCTTAAGGTTGTGAGTTCAGTCCCCTGTACCAAAAAAAATTTTTTTTAAATTTTGAAATGGGATGTGGTGGTGCAATCCTGTAATCCCAGCACTCGGAAGGCTGAGGCTAAGGCAGGAGGATCTTTGTGAGTTTGAGACCAGCCTGAAACACATAGTGAGACCCTGTCTCAAAAAGACAAAAAAAAAAAAAATTATTTTTTTGAGACCCGGTCTTGCTAAGTTGCTCTGTCATGCCTGGAATTTACAACCATTCTGCCTCAGCTTCCTGGTAGCTGGCATTCAGGTGTGTGCTACCCTGGCCAGCTTACTATTCTAGTTTTGTATGTGGAGACCCAGGTACACTTCTCTTATGCTGTCCTGTCACTGGGCATGGAGTTTGTGTCTCCATCTCCTGAGTAGCTGGGATTGCAGTGTGTGCCACGTACCCGGCTCTTTCCGTTTATTTCATTATTTCTTATTTCTTCTTATTATTAAATTACAGTCCTGGAGATTGAGCCTAGGGCCTTTGCATTGAGCTGCATACCCAGCCCTTTTATTGTTTTGAAAGAGGGTCTCACTAATCTGCTGAATTACCCAGACTGGGTTTCAATTTATGATTCTCCTGCCTCAGCCTCCCAGAGTGCCAGAGTTACAGACATGTACCACCACACCGAGTTTTAAACTTATTATTGTTATTCCAAACCTGCTCCAACTTTCTGTTCCTTGCCAGATACTAAATGATAATACCAGCTACCTAGTCCTCCAACCTGGAAACTAGAACTCATACTTGATTTTTAATTTTGCTTCATCTTTAACATTCATTTGGTCACAAATTGGGTCATTTTTACCCCTTCCTCTTTGACGGGTCTTTGTGTCCTTCAAGCTGCTGTCTTTTACTCTGTTCTTCATAATACCACCAGAGTTACCTTTGTGAAAGCAGACAAAACTCTGACATTCTCTTGCCTGAAGTCTTCCTAAGGTTCCCTGTCTCTCTTAGGCTGAAGGAAACTAATTCTATCCTTGGAGTTTCTGTCTACAATACTGTGCACAGCTTCTGAATGTAAAATTTTGTAATTGAGAGCTTCTAAAATTTTTTCCATTTATCTTTTTCTTTCTTTCTCAGATATTTTCTGGAGTGTCTAAGAGGACGGTGCTCCTGACTGGAATGGGACACATTTGGATAGATGAAGAGACTGTGGAGGATTTCCTTAACATTCACTTTCAACTGGGGAAGAATGGGGGTGGAGAAGTAGAAGTGGTTAAGTGTTGCCTTGGGCAATCTTACACAGCATATTTTGAAGACTAACTGATGGAATCATACGAAAATTACAGTTTTGAGTCCAAGTCACTGTAAACATTTGCCAAAATGAATACCATTGTCTTTGAGAAACGAACACTTTAATTCTTTAGTGACCATTTATTCTTAAATACAAAATATATTCCATGTTTTTTGCATTCTTCCTTGTTTCTGACTCTGCTGCATATTTACAATGCCTAACTGCACAGTGTTAACAATGGTTTTGTTTATAAACGAGGTGGAAGGGTTCCATGTCTGTTGAAATCAACCTTAATTGAGCCCCAAGTCCCCCTGCCTGTGTTGGCTCTCGCTGTCATATCATGTGGGCCAATTCCATTTTGGCCCCATGCCCACCAGTGTGTAGACTTGATGCTCAGTATTTCCTAAAAGAAATGCAGTTACACAAAGCCGTTTTGTGATTTCCGTACACTTTACCAAAGTTTCAAGAGACTTCAGGAGCCATCATGTTCTGCTTTGTGTAACATTTCATTCTACAGTCCAGAGGTCTCTGAGCTCAGTGTGGGCTTTCTCTTGAACTCTCCTTCATTCAGAATGCCAGGTGCCCTTTGATTGCTTCCAAGCTACCCAACTCCTCCCCGACAGAGAGCTCGTAAAAACCAGTAGCTGCTTTCTCTTGTACTATCAATGGAAAGCAACAATATAAGATTGAAAAGCTTGAATACAGAGAACTATAATAAAGCTAGCAATTTACATTGATCACTCTTAGATTCTGGCCTAGAGACAGACTATGACCCTGCTCTTGAGGGGCCTAAACTTTTATTGGAGAGAAACCCAGTTTATTAACATTTGGTTGTTTTTAATGTGTAAGAACTGTAAGGATAAAATTAAAGTTTCCTATTCAGAGATGGTAAATTCTTTTTTGATTAAAGAACTCTTTGGATACCATTTATTCATACACAGTAAATTTTGTGAAAAGCTGGAAACAGTATTAAATTCGTATTTAAGAGATAGCAGAAATGGATGCTTTTAGAAAACATTTTAAATCTGGCTGTCGCTTTCGGCCATCCAGTCCTCTTCCCACACTGGGAATTGAACCTGGGGCTTCACACATGGTAGGCACATCTCTTATCGCTTATGTCCCCAGCCTTGCCATCTAATACCAAAAAAGGGAAAATTTGTTTTTTTGCTTGATATTTTATTATTAGGTTTTAAATTTACTGTCAGAAGTATTCATTATTCTCACACTTCTGTCAGGAATGAGATATGTTGCCTAGACACCATATAATTTATAATAAATCTCTACATTTACCATGACAATCCTTTTGTTCTTTGAACATAGAAGAATTACTTAAAACCCTAAAAAATATTAATACGATCTTAGTCTGTATTCCGTTGATGAAATGGCAAGCAGAAACACTGAAATGACCCCAGGATTTGGAGGCAGATTTATTTTACATCTTCTGGCACTGATTAGGATCATTCCCAAAATATCAGGCCCTGATCCTTGGTAGTTGGGACTGATATGGGATAAACAAGAAGAAAGTACAGAAGCAGAGTATTGGCAGGTACTGATAGGGTCTTATAATGTACATCACAGTGACCAGCTGTTTCTAGGAGACAGAAGTAACAGGAACTTGTAACAGGAACTGTTACCTGGCCAACTACCGACTGGCTGTGGGGGCATTTTCTGCTACATTGTCATAAGAGGTTTATTTAGCTTCTGTTTCTGGAAGCTGGGAAATTCAAAAACATAACTAGCATCTTGTCACCTAGTGGTGTGGAAGGCCGCCTTCTTATATCATAATTGTATAGTACAGCAAGCTTGCAGAGAGAGGTTGTTTTTATAAGAAAGCTACTTCAATGATGATCTATTAATGTATGAATTTATGAAAATATAATACATTTTCAGTTTCTTTAGATAATCTCACTAGCACAGAAAGAATTGTTTACAGACTATAGCAGATTGCCCACTAGGAAGATACTTTTTCTAATATTTAGTGAAAAATTTGAAATAATTACTTTTGTTTCTTTGGGGGCCTTCTTCGGGCAGTAAAACTGAAAATTTCATTGAATTCTAAATTTTAATAGTGTTTTTGATGAATGATTTACTATAAAATTTTCTCTTTTTTTGTCTTTTTCCTTTTTATCAGTACCAAGGATCAAACTCACAACTGCCTACTTGCAAGGCAGGCGCTTATGCCGCTGAGCTAAATCCCCAACCCTGATTTACTATAAAATTTTCTTTGAGTTCTGTTTTGGTCAGCTTTCCATCGTGACACATTACCAGAAAATAACAATTTAAAAGGAGAAAAGGTTTATTTGGGCTCATGGTTTCAGAGGTTTTGGTCCATGGTTGCCTGGATCCATTGTTTCTGGGTCTAATGTAATACAGTATATGATAGCAAAAAAGCATCATGGGAGAAAGCTGGTCACCTGATGGTGACCAGCAAAGGATGGGGGAGGAAGCACCTGGGAAAGAGAGGCTGATGTCACGACACAGTCCTCAAGGACATTCCCCCGAGGTCCACTGCCTTCAGCTAGGATTAACCCATTGATGACATCAGAGACCTTACGATCCAGTCACTTCCAGAAGGCCCACCTCTGAACATAGTTGAACTTGGGACAAAGCCTTCAGCATTTGAGACTTTGGGGGAAAATGGAGATTAAAACTGTAATAGGCAGGGCTGGGGAATTAGCTCAGTGGCATAAGCGCCTGCCTTGCAAGCAAGCAGTCATCAGTTTGATCCCCGGTACCGACAAAAAGGAAAAAGACCACAAAAAAAAAAAAAAAAAAAAAAAAAAAAAGACTATAATAGGCTCCTTTCACTATCACACAAGTGCTGTCTGGCTAGATGTCTTACAGGGTCAGGCCTGGTGAGTGCAGTACTTGGATGGGAGAATGCCTGGAAATATTGGGTGCTGTAGGCTTTTGTCCTCTCTCCCTCCCTCTCCCTCTTTGTTTACAAAAAATAAGGGAGGTGGAGGAGGTGAAGGAGAAGAAAGAAAAAAAAAGTCAAGCAGTGCTGTCCTAATTATTCTAGAACAGTGGCTTGTAGTGGTTTTGTGGAAGCAGACCTGTCTTTGAAAATTTAGCAAAGACACTGTATTGACTATTTAACAAATTAAACGTTAAGTTAGAAGGCCTTAAAATGTATACTCAAAATGAGAGAGCACTGCTTAATGTGTGAAGATGATACTGAGTGCTGGGATCTTTTGATTCAGAAATGGTAGAAACAAAGGCCAAACACTAAGACACACACACTCCTGCAGGCGATCCTGGGTGTGGGTTGGGGAATGGAAAGGCCTTCCTGGACTTGGGGATTGACTGAAAGGAGTTGGTAGGTGGTAAGAAGCTTTCGGTAATTTCCACTGGTTAGGGACGTAGTTCCAAAAGATGTTTCTTCTTGGAATGAGTATGGATTACTGGGTGCCACGGTCAACTTCTAGAAGTTCTGAATTGTGAAAAAACATTCTGGCCTTGTGTGGCTGGACTCTCTTACAGGTCTGAGGCCTGGCTTTAATGAATTCTGTAGAAACACAAGAGTGGAGGCCGAAAAGAGGGCAGAGAGAGAAGAAACACATACTAGCTCTGGTGGGCAACAGGCCAATTGTTGTCTTGAACTGAATTCCTGAATAATAATCATGTCTACGCAGAGCTGAGTAGACTCCACAAAGATTAAGATAGCAAGGGCTGGGGATTTAGCTCAGCGGCATAAGCGCCTGCCTTGCAAGCAGGCAGTCGTGAGTTCGATCCCTGGTACCAATAAAAAGGAAAAAGGCAAAAAAAAAAAAAAAAAAAAAAAAAAGATTAAGATAGCAAAGGGAGTAAACACAGATGAAGACAGAGATGCTAAACCTTTAGTGCTTTTGGTTATCCATCAGACATCTGCAGAGCCAAAAGTCAGTGTTTTCAGTAGCAGTGACTGTCAGTTTCCCCAGGAAGTAACCTAGGCAACTTTATTATCATAACCCAGAGGTGGAAAGTAATTGGTCATGGGGCTCCACCCTTAGAAGGGATTAGTGCAGTTCTTGTGGGACTGGATTCGTTCCTGCAGGAATGAGTCCTTAGGGCTGGGAGTGTTAGGCAGTGGTAGAGTGGCTGGCATGCATGACACCCTAGGTTTGATCTTTAGTGTTAAAAAAAAAAAAGGGAAGAAACTGTGTTTTGTGTTAAATTTCAGATATTTATTGGACATTCCAATAGGTACTAGGTGCGTTTGGAGATAAACTATAAATTCAGGAATTACATGTAGGTTTACCTTAATGTTTTAGAATCTTCAGAGCCTTGTGTCTTGGTGTACAATAAATTAGCTCCATTCCTTAACAAACTGAGTAGATCTCAGTTTTTTAGAAAGTTATTGGGGTTTCAAACAACAGTTAAGTTTTCTATATTGTGCATTGTCACTTAGACTGCTAAGTCTAAGGATGTATGCTGTTTTACATACTTTGTTCTGTACATTTTGATAGGCTAAGAGTGAGAAGATGTGACTTTCCTTAGCTCATCATACTGGTCACAACTGATACTGTTATAACATCATCAACCAAAACAATGTTAACAAGCAAAAACTAACAAACTTGTTTTATCAAAGTCTTATGAGATACAGGAGCCTTGAGAAATGACCCAAAGACCCAGGAAAACTGTTTTTATACTTTAATTTTATGAAGAATGGGCAGAAATGGGTAGAAATGTGACTGTGCAAAAGGTTCTGATAACAGGTGGTTGGAGGGAAGGCACCCAGAAGGCTATCCCAGCTTCCCTGAGTAGCATCTTTTCTCCTGGGTATGACAGTCACCCCTGATACAACAGCCTGCCGGGGAACACGGAGAATGGGTGGAGTGACTTTTTTAGTTTTCATGGCATTTGCTTGATAGAGATGAGTTCTAGTTCATGATCCACTGCAGGCTTGGGGACAGAGAAGGGAGGGATGGTGGCAGGAGACAGTCAGGAAGATCTGTCTCTCTGCCGACAAGGCTCTTCTATGTCCTCCATTTGCAGTGTGCAGCTCACCAAGGTGGCATACAGGGCCTTCAGAGGGCTCACCAGACCCTCAGATACCTACAGGGATGACAAAAAGACAAATTTCAGGGTACAAGGGGACCTGGGAGGAGCTCCTCTAGCTCCTTCAGCAGCATAAGAATCTGCCTGGCAAGCCTGAGGTTGTGACTTCCATCCCCATATCAAAAAAAAGAGTGGATAAGGATTAAAATAAGAACTAGATTTTCTCTAAACCTATATGCCTGTATTTTGACAACTGTGTGTGTGTGTTTGTGTGTATCAGTATTCTGCCCATAGCCAGGGGGCAGAGGCCTTCCTATACTCCCAGTTCCTATAGCAAGATCTCACTACCAGGGGACTTCTAGGCATTAGATCACATAGTTGCTCCCCCCTCCGCCTCCTCCCCCCAAGATCTATCACATAGCCTGGTTTTCAAAAGGGGGCCGAAATTCTTAAGAAAATTAAGCGTTGCTTATGGAAATGTTGGCCACAGTCATGTATTTTATTATTGCCAGTCTAGGAGTGGAAAAAATGGTGTATCATGATTTCACCTTATATTTCTTCATTTAGGGTGGAAATTAAACTTCCCATCTGCCATCAATTTGCATTCCTTCATATTTTCCTGACATAATTTGGAAGCTTGTTGTATGTGTGGAGTCCCGTTGTCCCAAGGCCAGGCGGTCGGCACCGCCTGGGGCGGGATGGTTCCTGAGGGAGAGGAGGTGGCCCCCGTGCGGGTGAGGCTGCATGCAGACGTCGGAGGTGCTGAGAGCTGAAGAGAATCCAGATGCCTCTGAGCCAGGAGAGACGTCATCTGGAGGATCCCCAGGGTCCGGCCAGGGAGTCCTCCGGGCCTCTCGCAAACCCTTTCCCGAAGTTGCACAAGCACTGGGCGCATCCGGCCCGCGCTGGCCGCAGCGCTTCCTAGTGGAGGCGGCCGCCGCGGCGCCGGCCAGTGGGGGGAGGCCCCCTCCCCCACACCCCACCCTGCCCCCACTTTAACCCCCCCTTGCACCGCCCCCTCCAGTGCAAGCTCCCGGGGCACGAGCGGCAAAACCGAAACCGAAATCCGCCGGCGAGGTGCGCAGCGCGGGACTCCGCACGCCCCAGCGCGGCCCTCGCCATGGCAAGTCGCTTTCCTGCGGGTCGGGTCGGGGCCGGGAGGGCGCGGGTCCCCGCGGGTCCGGGCGGGGCGGGGCGGGGTGGGGGGCACGCGCAGCCGGCTCCAGGGCCGTCGCCGTGGGCCCGGGCGGCCACCCCTGACCCCCGCCCCGCGGCCGTGACTCAGCTTTCCGGGAAGGGGTCGCTTCCAGGCGGTGTTGGGTTTAACTTGGCTTCTCTGACTTGGAACGAAAGTGGACACATTCCCCAGAAAGGGAGGCCGTGGCTCTTTGGACTTTTTTGGAAGTGAGAACAGGTTCTGAGCAAAGGCGGAGTCAGGAAGGCATAGTGACCCCCACCTCCGCATCTCTCTCTGGCTTTCTGAGACAGGGTCGTTCTGTGAACTTCACACTGGCCTCGAACTCACAGTATAGCGATCCTCCTGCCCCAGCCTCCCCTCCCGGAGTGCTGGAGGCCTGCGCCACCGGGCCTAGTGTGAGAGGTTTGTCTTCTAAGAAGAGTTTAAAAAGCATTTTTGTTTGTCTTTCTCCAGAGACACAAAGGGCTCAGTGTTTTCACCAGCTGCCCTGGCTTGAAAGAGCAGTTAGCAAGTTGAAGATTTAGCCATGCGAGGGTGCACGTGTGTGTTTCCTCCATCAAGCTGTTGACTTGAAAGCCGTGGCAGAGCCCTGTTCTGAAATCCTGGAGTTTTGGATTTGCAAAAGCAGTTTTGAGACGTTTATCTGGAGAATGCAACACCATAGTCAATTAAAATAATTCATGTTGAGAAAAATATAAACAAACGCAGTGACTAAATCATCTAATTACCTCTTCTGGTCTTCATGAATAGGTTTTTTCTTTGTGGCTTTTTGTTTCCTGATACGTTGCCCAGAGGTCTTTTAAAACACAACGTTGTATTAGGTTTGTGTCTGGATGTCCTTCCAATGCCTCATGCAGTCATAGAGGGGTTTTTTTTTTTTTTATCGATGGCGGAATCTACAGTTTGTGTGTGATTGATTCATGTCCCAGTGCTGGGATTAAGGTGTAAGTGCCACACCCACAGGGGTAGCTGCTGTACAATATAAGGGATTGAAAGAATCTTGCCGATCCTCCTTTTTTATTGCTTTTGCTGTCTTCTGCTGCCATGAAGGGTTTGCTGTGTGCACTCTGCCTTGGAGCCGGTGGATAATGGACCGAAACCTCCACAGACTGTGAGCTGAATAAACCTTTCCTCCTTTAACTTTTGGTGTCAGGTGTTTTGTCTCAACAAGGAGAAAAGTAACAAAAAGGTGTCAATATAGGGACAAGTGCCACCCTCTCTCTCTCTGCTAAAGTGCTGTTTTTGTTTAAAGGCCTTGGAAAGACTATCTCCTACTTGTGAATAGGAAAAGCTAGTAATTATCACTGTTGGTAACTGATGTCAGTAAAATTATGTTAGCTATACTTCCGCAAACACGTGAAAGAAAGTTAAGGAACAATACTGGTAGATCATTCAAATAATTCATTAGATGAGTTCTAAAAATTTGTTCCTGCTGGGTATGATGGTACGTCTGTAATCCTCTGTCATTGAGGAGGCTGAGGCAGGAAGACCAGGAGGTCCAGGCCAGACTATGCTGTGCAGTGAATTTTGAGGCCGGCCAGGATTGTGTGGTGAGACTCTGCGGTCAAAGAAACACACAGACACAAAACATTGATAAGTTCCTTTAAAACAAACAAGATTGTGTTCTCACTTTTTAGAATACTGGCTTGGGAAGTTTGTTTGATTTTAAAAATAAACCATGTATAGATATTAAATAAGAAATGACATTTGTATTGACATGGGCATAGAGGTGGAGTAAGATTTTATGAACTGAAATTGATTGAAAGGAACCAACCTGGTATGGCTTGTTAGGACCAAGATGTTAGATTGGGACAAATCTCATGAAATAAATTTTGCTGAAAAATTGAAAACTCTCTTGGATTAATTTTTTCTCTAGGAAGCTGTGAATTACAGTATCTCAGGAAAATTACCATGTCTTATTTGGGGCTAGGATGTGGGAACAGTTTTTAAATCTGATATTTTTTTTTCCTTTTTAAAAATTTTATTTAGAATGTAATAAAAATACAACAGAACAAGAAAAAACAAAGCCAATCGAGAAATTGAGACAATGTAGTGATATTGGTACAGAACTTCAAAGCAGGATACTGGGATAGTAGTAATCGGTAGTACGGTATGTCTCATAATCTTCACAATAGTTGTCCAGTCAATTAGGTATAGTGAAATCAAACTAATAACAGACCATTGTACAACCCATTGAAGGAGAGTATTGAAAAGAGCACAACAATCATTACAAAACATAACAGTGAAAATAGAACGAGGAAATCCCCCTGATTTGCTGTATTGCATATGGTCATCCTCATCCTCCCAAGAGATGCTCAGAACTCTGTCCCCAGTTGCTGACGGGTGGGGGGATGTTTGACTCTAAGCCCCAGCCGGTAGGCTCGTGGGAACAGCTGACTGGTTCTCCTCCTGGCCTGTGCCAGAGGTGCTTATCAAGAAGGCGGGCAAATGGCCTTCTTGTGCAGCCGCCTAAGTCCCAACCTAAATCTGATATATTTTTGTTATTTCACTATACAATCTTCTTTACAAATAATTTTAATGACTTTTGTTTTCTTCCATTAAACAATAACAAATAGCCACTAGATTTTCTTTTCGAGATAGTATCACTATGTAGTATAGTCTGGCTTATATATCCTAGGCTGACCTTGAACTCACAGTAATTCTCCCGTCTCAGGCTCCTGAGTGCTGGAATTACAGGCGTTTCCCACTATTCACGGCACCACTAGATTTTTATTTACTTTATTTTCAGAAGACACTTTGGTTTTGTTGTTTTTGCCATTACTGAGGATTGGATTTAGAACCCACACACTGAGTTACATCTTCAGTCCATTTTTAAATTTTATATTTTGGGGCTGGGGATTTAGCTCAGCGGCATAAGCGCCTGCCTTGCAAGCAGGCAGTCGTGAGTTTGATCCCTGTATGGATAAAAACGAAAAAGACAAAAAAAAAAAAAAATTTATATTTTGAGACAGGGTCTTGCTAGTTGCTAAGTTGCCCAGACAGGGCTCAAACTTGCAGCCTTCTTGACAGCCTCCCAGCCTGCTGGAGTTACCACTGCCTTCTGTTTGTATCATCCTGAGAGATTTTCACCCTTCCATCCCTCCCCCAGCCTCCCCTTCTCTATTTGTTGTAAACTTTTTTTCTTGGCATCTTTGCCTCATCCATTCAGATTTGACCTCAGTCTTTGTCAAGGCCTTTCCTTCATGTAACTTTTTAAAAATTGCTCTACTGGAATTAATTTTACTAATCCTGGATGGCATTTATTGTTATTTTAGACTGTTATCATAGGTAATCTGTGTCCTTCTCAGATGGTGGAGGGTTGGCCTATCTCTTCCTATGACAAAATAGACCTCAACAAACTCTTTTGAAATGATTTATTTACCTGTCTCCTTTTCTTCCTTAAGGGAGTCACCCCTCTCCTTTTTAATAGCGTTAATTCTAAAACTTGTCTAAGCGCTCCATGTGTAGTGATTACTCAGAACATTTTTGTTAGGGATTTTAATTTTAGAGCACAGGGTATATTTTATTTTATTGCCTATATCATCTCTGATACCCAGCATTATTGTCAGGCAAGAACACATGCTTAATTAATACAGTACTTGTTAACTGATACATGAATTGACAATATACCAAATTCTAAGAAATTACGGTGTACATTGTGAGTTTAAAAACACCATTTCAGGGCCTGGTGTAGCTCAGTAGTACAAGCACCCGTCTGGCAAGTGCAAGGTCACGAGTTTGATCCTCAGTACCTAAAGAAAAACAAAGAAAAAAGCCATTTCATCAGAAAGGTACATTTTTGCCACCTCATTTTATAAGCCAGCAGCAGAAATACAGTACCAAAGAGATGAGAAGAGGATGTACTGCCTTGGGCAGTCCTCATGGACTTTAATCATTGTATCAGTCAATGCTTACTAGAGAAACAAATATAACACAAGATATATAAATCTATATGAGTTTATAAGATGGGCTTACAGTGGTCAACCACAGAATCGGATGTGCAGGAGTGCAGAGCGTCTGTCTATACAGTGGAGACCAGAGAGTACAATCCAAGGTCTGGAGCTCCCTGTGGTGTTCCGCGCCAGTATGTGTTAGGAGGTCGATGGGTCTGCGATGGAAGACTGAAGAGCCTGCTCTGCAAGCCCAGATAGCAGGTCAAGTCCTCCCTGAGACTTTTTAAAAATGTTTTGAGACTTTTTTTTAGGTACAATGCTCCTGTGTGTTTGCCCCGAGGTTCCATCCCAGCTACCCTCTGCCGTGTGTCTGTGTGTGTTGCCTTTGCTCCTGTGTGTTTGCCCCGAGGTTCCATCACAGCTAACCCCCTGCGGTGTGTCTGTGTGTGTTGCCTTTGCTCCTGTGAGTTTGCCCTGAGGTTCCATCCCAGCTAACCCCTGCGCTGTGTCTGTGTGTGTTGCCTTTGCTCCTGTGTGTTTGCCCTGAGGTTCCATCCCAGCTAACCCCTGCGCTGTGTCTGTGTGTGTTGCCTTTGCTCCTGTGTGTTTGCCCCGAGGTTCCATCACAGCTAACCCCTGCGCTGTGTGTGTGTGTGTTGCCTTTGCTCCTGTGTGTTTGCCCCGAGGTTCCATCCCAGCTAACCCCTGCGGTGTGTCTGTGTGTGTTACCTTTGCTCCTGTGTGTTTGCCCTGAGGTTCCATCCCAGCTGACCCCCTGCGGTGTGTCTTGTGTGTTGCCTTTGCTCCTGTGTGTTTGCCCCGAGGTTCCATCCCAGCTAACCCCTGCGCTGTGTCTGTGTGTGTTACCTTTGCTCCTGTGTGTTTGCCCTGAGGTTCCATCCCAGCTAACCCCTGCGCTGTGTCTGTGTGTGTTACCTTTGCTCCTGTGTGTTTGCCCCGAGGTTCCATCCCAGCTGCCCCCTGCCGTGTGTCTGTGTATGTTGCCTTTGCTCCTGTGTGTTTGCCGAGGTTCCATCCCGGCTACCCCCTGCGGTGTGTCTGTGTGTGTTGCCTTTGCTCCTGTGTGTTTGCCCTGAGGTTCCATCCCGGCTAACCCCTGCGGTGTGTCTGTGTGTGTTGCCTTTGCTCCTGTGTGTTTGCCCTGAGGTTCCATCCCAGCTAACCCCTGCGCTGTGTCTGTGTGTGTTACCTTTGCTCCTGTGTGTTTGCCCCGAGGTTCCATCCCAGCTGCCCCCTGCCGTGTGTCTGTGTATGTTGCCTTTGCTCCTGTGTGTTTGCCCTGAGGTTCCATCCCGGCTAACCCCCTGCCGTGTGTCTGTGTGTGTTGCCTTTGCTCCTGTGTGTTTGCCCTGAGGTTCCATCCCGGCTACCCCCTGCGGTGTGTCTGTGTGTGTTGCCTTTGCTCCTGTGTGTTTGCCCTGAGGTTCCATCCCGGCTACCCCCTGCGGTGTGTCTGTGTGTGTTGCCTTTGCTCCTGTGTGTTTGCCCTGAGGTTCCATCCCGGCTAACCCCCTGCCGTGTGTCTGTGTGTGTTGCCTTTGCTCCTGTGTGTTTGCCCTGAGGTTCCATCCCGGCTACCCCCTGCGCTGTGTCTGTGTGTGTTGCCTTTGCTCCTGTGTGTTTGCCCTGAGGTTCCATCCCGGCTAACCCCCTGCCGTGTGTCTGTGTGTGTTGCCTTTGCTCCTGTGTGTTTGCCCTGAGGTTCCATCCCGGCTACCCCCTGCCGTGTGTCTGTGTGTGTTGCCTTTGCTCCTGTGTGTTTGCCCCGAGGTTCCATCCCGGCTAACCCCCTGCCGTGTGTCTGTGTGTGTTGCCTTTGCTCCTGTGTGTTTGCCCCGAGGTTCCATCCCGGCTACCCCCTGCGGTGTGTCTGTGTGTGTTGCCTTTGCTCCTGTGTGTTTGCCCTGAGGTTCCATCCCAGCTACCCCCTGCGCTGTGTCTGTGTGTGTTGCCTTTGCTCCTGTGTGTTTGCCCTGAGGTTCCATCCCGGCTAACCCCCTGCCGTGTGTCTGTGTGTGTTGCCTTTGCTCCTGTGTGTTTGCCCTGAGGTTCCATCCCGGCTAACCCCCTGCCGTGTGTCTGTGTGTGTTGCCTTTGCTCCTGTGTGTTTGCCCTGAGGTTCCATCCCAGCTATCTCCTGCGGTGTGTCTGTGTGTTGCCTTTGGTGCGGAGGAGTGAGGCGTGCCTGGGGCAGCTGCAGCCCTTGTTTTATTAACATTTTTCAACTCTTTGGTCTCCCGCCCCCATTCTGATGTGCGGGTTGTCATCTTTGTCCTGCTACCGTCTTGCTTATTCTGGGTTAGTGTGTCCCTCTCTTATCCTTGTATACTTCTCCATCTCTCCTCCTCCTCCCCTCCGTTCCCTCCCCTCTCTCTACTCCTTCCTTTCCCTGCCCCTCATCTTTCTGTTCCTTTTGAGGACAGGATCTTGAGGTCCAGGCAGCTGGGTGGTGAATGCAGTTGCTGTAGAGCGCAGGCTGGCGTGGACCTTTTGCTTCAGCCTCCCAAATACTAGGATTGAAGGCATGTGCCGCCACACTTGGCTGGGTTTATTCCTTTCCATTCACTTTAAAGGTCTCATAGGATGGACAAGACGTTGTGTGTTGAGTCTGTTTCTGGGAGCCCGAAGAAGTGTGCCCATCTCCAGTGGAGTCCGGCCTTAACTGCAGAGTCTTCTAGCCTGCACTCTGGATGGTCTGTAACTATCACTTGGGCCCATGAGACAATTCATCTTTCAGGCTGTTGAGAAAGCTTATGCCTCAATTTGGTGTCATCAACTTGGACTAACTATAGCATTGGGAGAAGCTTATAGGCTGATGTGTCTACATGAGACTGAGAGGCAAATCAAAGCATTTGAGCAGAAACCCTTTAAGTAAATAATTCAAGAAATTTGAAGAGAGAGAACCCAGGGAAGATCTGGCAGTCGGTCCTGTGTGTCAGCATGGTCGGCAGTGAATCTCGCCTCAGATGTGCATGAGAGGTGGGGTTTCATTCACTGCAACCTCTTTTATTGCAAGGGTTTTATTTTTTGTTGATGACCTTTCCTTGAGTCTCACAATATATAAGGGAGATACTTTTCTTATTGGCGTATATACTTTGGACTCTGCAATCCAGAGAGCATGCAGCTACCTCCAAATTACCATGCTTTACTAGTGTCATACTTTTTACATTTTTAAATTTCTGTATCTTAATCTTTTCTTTTGTGACATATTCTATTATTTTTGGCCTTTCTAAAATTAAACATTAACTAATATTTTCCATTTTTTAAAAACTTTTTTTATTTTCCATTTTTTGAAAGCAGATTTTTATATTTGATTCTAGGGTTTGGCTAAAGCTTATGTTACTGCTGGTATGAGACAAAGATCTACTCGTCCTTTCAACGAAGTGTGTCTGTCACCTTTATAGACTAAAACACCCTCTCTCCCGGTACCTGCCATCACCTTTATTAGTCTAATGGTTTTAAATAATTTCCTACTGTTTCTCCTGCAGGCATCAGGCTTGAATGTCAAAGAATGTGAAGCTTCCGAAAGAGCAGTCATAGTTGCTGGCCTTCCTGTTGACCTTTTCGGTGACCAGCAGTTGGCCACATTGGTGAAGAGTTACTTCCAGGATAAGACTCTGGGTGGAGAGGTTGAAGAGGTGATATATCCAACAAGAACCAAGGGAGTGGCGTATGTAATATTCAAAGAAAAAAAAGGTATTTCCAAGTCAGATTTTTGTAATCTTAGGCCTACCTTTTCACTGAAATTAAAATTACATTTGTTAAGTGATAGGACTGTGGGGGACCTGTGGCGGCTGAAAAGATAAGTATGGGGCTGGGGATTTAGCTCAGCCGCATAAGTGCCTGCCTGGAAAGCACGCAGTCATGAGTTCAATCCCTGGTACCAATAAAAAAAAGAAAAAAAAAAAAAAAAACAAGATAAGAGAGAGACATCTCCGATCTCCTGGGGCACAGCATGTCCACCCCGGGATCAGCGATCTCTCTGTGGAACACGTGGAGTGAGGCACATAAGTAGCCTCAGTTTGGGGTGGAACCTAAGGGTGCATTAGGGATGCACAGGTAGCCCATTGGTCTTTGTTTGGTGCCATAGGTAAATTCCTAGGGGTGGGGGAGATGGAGTCACAGGTAAATTCCTAGGGGTGGGGGAGATAGGCACTCCTTGGTTCCTGCTGAGGCTTTTCCACTGCAGTGTCCGGCCTGGGCCAAAACTCTTTCATTAAGCACATCTTGGATCTGGCACTAGGGAGGCTGAGACAGGACTGCCAAGAGTTTGAGGACAGTCTAGGCTACATAATGTGTGCAGGGCCAGCTTGAACTATACAGCAAGACCCTGTCTCAAAAACAAAACAAAAATGAAAACAAAAAAATTACCTTCTGTTTAAGTTATTCATATGATTAATATCATTTAAAGTAGTTTTAAATAATTATTCTAAACTGGTCGAAATTGTACAAGCCTATAATTCCAACCACTGAGTGGGTAGGTGGGTTGTGGCAGAAGTATCAAAAGTTTGAGGCAGGGCTGGGGATTTAGTTCAGCAGCATAAGCGCCTGCCTGGCAAGCTCGAGGTCGTGAGTTCGATCCCCAGTACAAAAAAAAAGTTTGAGGCCAACCTGGGTAATTTAGGGAGACTCTGTTGTGAATTAAAATGAAAACAAAAGAACTGGGAATACAGATCAGTGGTAGAGTGATGCTTGCCTACTATGTGTGAAGTCCTGAATTCAATGTTGAACACCACCAACAAAAGAAAAGAAAAGAAAAGAAGAACTCTTGAATATAAAATGTATAAAAGTGGCCAGTACATTATTAGCAAGAATGTGTGAAAATGGTTCATAATAAAATTGTTAGTGATGAGCGAGTTTGAATACTTTGAATGTGTCTATCGCTTGTCACAGTATTGTAGCACATGTATGAGTGGAGAACAGGTGCTGGGTATAGGTTAGCAGAGAAGTTCGAGGCCTAAGGTCTGGGTTGCATTGGTGTCCAGAAAATGGGGACAGCTGGAGGGTCGGTGAGAGACTGAGCAGGTCAGTCGGTGAATTATAAGGAAAACCGGACAGTGTCACATGCTAGACTCACTGAGGTGAAGCTCCTTGGAACCAGAATTCACAGAGTGCGGACTTGCTTGTTTGTATTCTGTTCATATATATATATATATATATATATATATATATATATATATACACCTGTGTGTGGTTTAAAAAATATGATCAGGGCCATGATAACTTCAGAATGAATTTAAATGTGTTAAGGTAGTGTGAAAAAGTGTATTTGAATGTGGATTTAGAGGAAAATAGAGAAGAAACTTAGGAGTTTCTAAATAACAGAGTTAACACCTATATTTTTAATTAATTCATTATCAGTGTATTATGAACACTTTTGTAAGTGTCACAACCACTTTTGATGCTAGTGTTTCCATGTAGTTGCAAAGAATGTCGTCAGACAAAAGAAATACCCTCTAGCAAAGAAGGCTGGACACACTCAACTCACAGTCTCTCACCTGAGTGAAAAGGTAAGGTTGTGGCAGGTAGAGTGGGGGGCTGAGCCCCATCTCCCTGTGACCTGTTTCCTGTGCGGGGAAACACAAAGCCCTCTCACCCTGGGACTTCTAGGAAGGAAGGTGCAAACTCTCTAACCTGACTCAGTGCAAGGCCAAACCTGTTTCATGAAACTTTTGTTTTTGTATTTCTCTGTGTCCCACTGGATGCCTTTAAAGTGACAGTGAGCTTTGTGCTGTCACTGATGACATCAGGTTTTTACCTAAGGACTGGTTTGGGGAAAAATTAGATGAATATTAAAAAGCAACGAGGAAACATGCTGTACTACAAACATGTACTAATGGAGAAAATAATCTGAAAAAAATTAAAATTCAGAGTGCCTGTATCGATTTCTACACCATATTCTGTAGAAAACACAGGGCTCCATGCACCCATCTGAGGTGTCTGTAACTGGAAGGGGAAGAGGGGGTTGACTCTCCAGCTGCCCCTGTCTGCTGAACCAGAACGGTTTATGGCTGTGGGCTCTGTACAGGGCTTTGCTGTAAAAGCACCGTGTTACCTCTAAAAGGTACTTGCCTGCTTCTGCGTTATGAACTGTGCTGAGGGACAATGCTGTCCAAACTGAGCAGACTGGGCTTCTTGCAGGGGCTGCTAAGGTGCCATCAGGGTCTGATTCAGGGAAACCGCCTCAGAGGCAAGAAAGTGTTAAGAAAAAGAATTTGTTTATGTTGTCTGCTTTGTCAGGCATTGCTGTTTTAATTACTTTTCTTTTTTTTTTTAAATTTTAGGTTTTCAACTCTGTAAAGGCTATCCTTGATCTTTCTGTTTTTCAAAGTCAAGTTGTTTTAGAAAGCCTCATAATGGACCTGAAAAAGAAAATCCCAAATTTAAGCTTCAGTCCTTTGGGACCCAATGGAACAATCTCTGTGGAAGGATCATTTCTGGCCATCAAGAGACTTAATGAGTCGTTGCTATCAAAAGCAAGTTCTCTGTTAGAAAAAAACAAAAATTTTATCAGTGAGGGGAGAAAGTGTAATGTACAGAGCTCCAAAAACAGTCTGCATAGAAGTGATAACTTGGTGGAGACGCTGAGGACCTCGGTACCTGAGACCTCTAGGAGAGGAGAAATGCTTGTGCTCGACACAGATGTTTTCCTTTACCTGAAAGCGAAGTGTAAAATTTATGAAACCACACTCAGCAAATTCCATATTCTAAGTCAAGAGAGGGTGAATGGTGAAGTCACCACCATTTGGCTGAGAAATGCTCAGGTTGATTCTCAGCCAGACACAGTACGGGATGTGAGAAAACTCTTTGAGGAATGGTCCCAGAGTCTTTCTGTTGAGCTCAGAAAAGAGACTTTTACTTTTGGAGGAAAGAAAAACAGCTATAGAACAAATATTGAACACGCATGTGAACTGCTGCGTTCAAAATACCAAAGAGTTCTGATTAACTTTTATAGGACACACATTGACATTATAGGATCATCTTCTGACACATACCAATTTAAAAATGAGGTTATGAAATTAATAAGCCAAAAGGTTAGTTGATAAAATCCCCAGCTATAGTGATGATAGTTGCTTTCTCTCACTGAGTAGTGATTGTGCCATGCATAATGCTAGCTTGATGAACACCATCTCAATTCATCCTTGCTGACCGCCTTTCATTGTGAGTGTGACTACCTTTATGTTGTAGAAGAAGAAACTAGGATTTGAAGAAGTTAAAACTCTTGTCCAAAGTTATTGAGTTGCCAAGGGTTAGGGCTGGGGCTTAACCCAGTCTAACTAACTATAAAGATAATATCTAATTTACTAAAAATTTGAAGACATCTCATTCTCTGAACAACTCCAAATTATTAGGAAAAGAAGTAGCCTTAACTTCAATGTATAAGCACTTTGGGTGATTATTATTATTATTGATAATTTCATAACATTTACAAAGTTTGCATTTACTCCATATAGAATAATGATACTGGGCCTGGGGATTTAGCTCAGGGGCATAAGCGCTTGCCTTGTAAGCAGGCAGTCGTGAGTTTGATCCCCGGTACCGATAAAAAGGAAAAAGACAAAAAAAAAAAAAAAAAAAAAAAGATACTGACAAAAATCACTTGGGAAACTACTCAGTATTTCTAATGCATGTAATGATTACTTGGTTAAACTCATTGCAGGGCTGTTGGGTATATGAGGCATTTTTGTTACTGCTTTTTTTTAGCCTATGTGCTTACATAAAAATGTGAGCTCTTTTTGATATAATTTGAATGAAATCTATAAGATTGCTATAACTGATGCTCCTTCTTTTATGATGTTTTATAAGTTGAAAATACTGTAAATTAATACATTTAATATAGGTGACCTACTGAACACCCTAGCTTAGGAACGTCCACTGTTAAGTATGGGTTGTTTATCCTTGTGATCCAGTGACTGACACAGCTGTGACTGACAGAGCTCTGTGACTCACTGCCGATGCTTGCCGTCACTAGGAACTATCAAACAGCACAATCCTAGCTTGCATAAGCATCGGAACACCAAATTCAAAGTAAAGTTTCTACTGCCTATGTATTGCTTTTGCACCAATAGAAAGTCAAAAATTCACAAAAAAGTTGCCCAGTGTGGTGGTGCATGCTTGTCATCCCAGCACTCAGGAGGCTGAGGCAGGAGGATTGCTGTGAGTTCGAGGCCAAAGTGGGCTATAGCAAGATCTGTTTAAAAAAATTCATAGAAAAATTGAATTGTAGATTGAAAGTAGTCAAGCCAAGAACCATCTGTATTCTTAACATGCATGCATTTATTCACATGCTGTTACTATAGTAATGCAATTATAAAACAACAACAACCAAAAAGAAAATCTCACAATAATTTATTTTAAAATCTGTGCCTCCCTGGAATTTAGCTTCATATTAAATTGATTTTAAGTATTTGAGGCACTCCAGAGCTCTCCCTAACTTAATATATACTAAAATTCTGATACCTATTTGACCTGTCTGCTTACAGAAAATGTTAGTTCTCCTGCTGTAATTACGAGGGATTTTGAAAGAAATCTTTCTGAAAGTAAACAAATATGATTATGATTATCTGAACTGTTTGTATCAGTAAAAAATCACAAGATAAACCTGTCAGTATGCTTTCAGTTTTCCAACTCACCTAAAACTAAAATATGTAAATAATTCTTATTTCCATTGCCTTATAATGTATTTCTGACACCAAAAATATAAGGATCAAAAAGCAGTAATTGACTAATGGTTTTGTTACATCAAACTTAAACACTTGTGCATCAAAGGAGGTGATCAATGGAGTAAAAAAAGAGCCGTTTCCTTCAGTTCAGGCTGCTATTAAAAGAACCCCACTGGGGGATTAAACAGCAGATAATTATTTATCACAGCTCTGGAGCTGTCTAAAGGGTTCAGCCAGCATCGATCCTGGTGAGTGGTCTGTTCCTGGAGAAAGCAAGAAAAAGAAGAAGAGAGAGAACTCTGCCCTGTTTCTCACTCTCAGAAGGGGATGACTGCTATCATAAAGGTTCTACCCTACTGACTTCGTTTCCTCCCTGAGACCCCACCTTCAAATGCTGTCACACTGAGGATTAGAACTTCAGTGTGGCATTGGTGGGAGCCTGCAGACATTTGGTCCATGACATTATTTTTCACCTCCCCAAAACTCACGGCCTTGTCAAGTGCCACGCACACTCATTGCACACTCATTGCACCCCAACAGTTCCAGACATCATCTAATAAGGACTAGTATCCAAAGTGTCATTGAAATCATATGTGAGTGAGACTCGAGTGCAGTTCAGTCTGTTCTAAAAGGGAGGAAAAGAAGGGAAGGAAGAGACAACTGGGTGCAAACTTGCTGAGATCTTAAAGCTTGAAAATAACTTACAGTTTATTCCTCTATATTTCGGCTCTCTGGAGCCACCACATACAAACACTCAGCCAAGAGCAAACCTGCCGTTGACTTGCTCTTGGGTTTCCAGCCTCCAGAACACTATGCGGCACATTTTGGCTGTGTGTGAGCCATCCAGTGTGGTGCTTTGTTGCAGCAGTTGCACAGACTGAGAGACACACAGATCAGTTTGGTAAGCTACAATCCAAGGAGTAGCAAAGGTTGTTGGGAACCCCAGGCGTTGGAAGAGCCAGGAAGGAGGTGTGCCTGCTGACTCCTTGGTGTTTTGGACTTTGGGTTTCCAGAACTGTGAGGGAATGTTTCTGTTGTTTTAAACTGCCAAGTTTGTGAGAGTTTATGTGGCTGCCCTAGAAAACCAATAGAGCTGGCTTTCTTTCAACCTTTTCCTGGGGGCCTACACCCCTGCAGATGGTTTTGGTTGTGAGCCTCCGTTGGCCACTCCCGCAACCCCCTTTCTCTTGAGGGTGGGGATTGTTTTTTCTATCTTATTCCTAGTTCATAACAGAGCAACTGGCCCATAGTTAGCATTCTACAAATACTTTAGAGATGCATGAACAATTATTATTTTTTTGTCTTTTTCATTTTCATCGGTACCGGGGATCGAACTCGCAACCACCTGCTTACAAGGCAGGTGCTTATGCCGCTGAGCTAAATCCCCAACCCCTGCATGAACAATTTTTATAATTTAACACTGGGTCGTCGTGTACTTAACAAACATCTAACACATGTTTGCCCCTTGGTCCAGGAATTGCTTTTCTGTGCTATCTATTCTTTTTCCTTGTCAACATAATATAGACACGAGTTTCTTATACCCTTATTAGAATGCGTCTGCATTTCCTACTGGCATTATTTTCTACAGTGTAGGAAATTCTGTCAGGACAATCTCTTTTATTCTTGTTAAGCAGGTTAGCCTATAATTGTTCCTGGCCAGAGGCCACAAGCCATCTTCCCTGGACTTGCCTGGAGTGGCTCTCTTCATTTGCCTGTCTCCTGACTGGGTTTCAATGTGAGACAAAAATACCTTGTGATTTAATTTGGTAATTATGAAGATTTTCTTGGTCCATCTACTGTGGTCTCTGATGATTGTCAGTTGAAAGGGGCCATTCAGAGGTTCATAAGGTCTATCCGTCCATTAATGCTTGATATGTTGAAGTGTTTTAATCAATAGAAGATAATATACAGAATAATAAGTGTGTTAAAACTGTCCTGCAGTTAATGTTTCTAACAGTGCTGACAAGAGCAGAAGGGGGAGAGTATGTCTCCATTTTATTTTTTTATGAAATTCAACATTGGAGGAGATAGGCTTAATTTGTTACTGATTTAGATTATAAAGGATTTCATGAGAAGAATGAAAGGTAAAATGTAAGAAAGTAACGTTTTCCAGGGATGTATGTGTAGGTTGTGAGGAGTAGAGTGACTTGTTTCTGATGATTATAGATATTTATGGGTTAACTGTCTAAACTTTATTTATTTTTTTTGTCTTTTTCTTTTTTATCGGTACCGGGGATCAAACTCGCGACTGCCTGCTTGCAAGGCAGGTGCTTATGCCGCTGAGCTAAATCCCCAGCCCCTAACTGTCTAAACTTTATTAAAAATGCTTTTTCCTTCTCTTATTTGCCTTTCTTTCCTTCTTTTTCTCTTTCTTTCTTTCTTTTTCTCTTTCTTTCTCTCTCTCTGTCTCTTTCTTTCTTTCTCTTTTTGAGACAGGGTCTTACTCTGCAGTTCAGGCTGGCCCTGAACTCACTTTGTAGCCTAGGCCACCCTCAAACTCACAGCTGTCCTCCTGCTTCAGCCTCCCACGTGCTGGGATTACAGGTGTGCACCCATGCCTGGCTCACTGCCTCTTCTTAAGAGTGAAAATATCACATTTTCCTTCTCTTATTCTACAGATTGCCCAACATTTTAGACTGTTACCAGACCATCCTTGTATTTGTTTCATCTTTTCCATCCTCAATGATGCTGTCATGGTGTGTGTCAGTGGCCCCCAAGCCTCATGCAGTTATAGACATGATCAAATCTAGCATTTGTGATTGGTTTGTTGTCTAGTGCTCCAGTTGATGGTGTGACTGTTTCACCCATACAGCAGTGGAGCCAGGATATGGTGTATTGGCAGGAAGAAGGTGTGTTTCTCTGTCTTGCTGGTTTGCTCCTTGCAGTTTGTGGCATCCATGAACTGTGGCCCCGCCATGCTACCCTGCCTTGGAGCCAGCTGAGTATGGACCAAAACCTCCAAGAACTATAAAATAAATAAACCTTTCTTTCCCATCAGATATTTTGATCAGATATGAGGTATTTTGTCTCAACAATGAGTAAAGAGTTAATTAAGACAGCATCCTTGGGTTATTGCAGTATTCTCACTGGCCTTCCTGGCTAAGCGTTACCCACTCCCATGTACTTAATTCACCCTGTGCACCAGGAGAAGTTGATGTGTCTGAAGGGGTTAGATGTATTTGGAAGTATTAAACTGACTGACTGGTGTCAACAGTCCTACCTTGAAAATTCATGGCAAAGTTTAATCTTACATTTTCTGAATATGTATTCTCTGAAAGGTACAGTTTACTCATATCACTGGAAAGGAGTTTAAGGAGGCCTCTCTGAAGAGGAGATGGGGGTCTCTATTAGGACTGGGTAGCATCTTAACTTTCCTCACAGAGAAGAACTTTGCATGCCGTGGTGAGAGGCACAGGCAGATTTACTAGGAAGAGTTATTAACCAAAAGGAAACAGGGAAGAGGCATCAGGTTGATGATGTCTCCAGTGAAGATCCGACTGGCCCAATAGAGGAGTCCAGGCAGTTTTTAAGGGGTTGCTGAGACAGGCTGATCATTATCTCAGGTTTGGTTTTGCAAGATTTCTCTGGAGAAGTCGTTAGAGGGCAGTCTCTACTTGGGGCAGTCTCAGTTTTTTGGAAGTTCTGCTGGAATCCAAAGTGACTGTAGGTTTAAGGCAATGATTGGAGACTTGGTAAGCACCAACTGGTAATTAAATGTCCCTGTAAACTTTTATCTTAATGTACTCAATCTTGAGGGGGATGAAATATATTAAGTAAATTGAAGACAATAAGTTTAAGCTAATCAATCTTATGCTATCATTTTTAAGACAGATTCTCCTTAATATGCAGAGCTCAACAGACACATGACCCAAAAGTTTTAAGATAACAAAGGAGTCAAATACAAAATGACAGCAAAGTTTCTAAGCTTTGCCTTGCTTTTTATTATCCAGTGGGCGTAATTAAAGCCAAGTTAAGGGTCACTGTTTTTAGCCAAAGAATCTATATCAATCTCATTCTAGTTTCTGTGTATTTTTTTTAATCTTTTTATTGGAACCAGGGATTGAACTCACGACCACCTGCTTGCAAGGCAGGTGCTTATGCCACTGAACTAAATCCCCAGCCCTCATTCTAGTTTCTGGAAAAAATATCTTAACACATACAATTTAAAGACTAGAGTTTTATTTTGGCCAAGAGGGACAGAGGAAGAAGTTAAAGTTAAAAGAATATATATGTCCCCTCCAGGCTCTTCTAATCAGGTCCCAGCTTGAAATAGCACACTTAACTATGAATTCAGTGAATTGGTCCACTGATGGGTATAGCACCCCGAGGACCCAGTCACCTGCCAAAAGTCTGAACACGTGACACTTGGTGCATTTTAGATCAAACTGTTAAGATTCCACCTCTGACCCCAAAAGATTCATGTCCATTCATTATGCAAAATGCATTTAGTTCATCTCTAGTTTTAGCCATGCTCAAAGCAAAACTCTTACCTATAAGCTCCTTAAAAAAACAAAAAACACTTAAATTTTTCCAATATACAAGGCATAGGATAAATATTCCCATTTCAAAGCAAAGGAATGAGGATATAGAGAAGAATTGGACCAAAGAAAGATCAAAAACAAGTAGGGCCAACATTTAAGTTCCATAGAGCTGAGTCCAGAATCTGGGTATAAGGCAGTGTGATCTCCAAAAGGCATGGTCAACTCTGTCGCTATAGCCTTGATGGTTACACCCCTCATGACCTTTATCTAGGACTGACTCTGCTGTCTGCTCACAGGTTGTTGCATAGTTCTGATCTCTATTGTACCTTTGGCTTTGCTTTTCAAGTGTAAAAGCACATTGCCGGGCCTCCTAAGCCTTCTGGAATTTAAGTGAAGCCTCTGTGACTCCATAATTCTTGTATGCCATATGCCTCTAGGATCAGAACTGTGTAGATGATGCCAAGGTCTGCTGCCGTATCAATCAGTGCCTGGACCCCCTTGGGTCATGGCTGCAGTGGCTGGGTAGCTGAACTCAGGGGTACATTTCCTAATGACTCTGAGTAAGCAAGGTGC